CGGCTTTTGAGCTTTCTTCGGTGGTGTGATACAAAATCTATAACAAAAAATCGGACCAGAGAATCTTTTCAAGAAATCCTTTCCTAATACAGGATCCCATAATAAGAAAACTAAAACTTTAATTATACATAACTAACATTGACATTAAGACAACATTTTAAGTTAAAGAGTTTAATCCACCAAAAAAAAAAACCTGTAACTTTCCGTTGTTGTGTTGGGGTTCACTTGACTGTTTCAGATCGGTGTATTTTCATCCACGCCTGACAGTCTCTTTATAAGACGTATAAAGCCGTATCGGTAGCCCTGTGTCTCTTCACTATCGCATGTGAAAACGGAAGAATAACATGAGGTGGCGTTGCATTCTGGGAAGGGTTTGGACCGTACCATGTGTAGTAGTGTTTCACTGTTTTATACCTTTTTAATAAACATTAACGCAATTTAGTGTATCTTAAGAACGGTAGGAGTAGCCATATATTTATAAAAATGTGAGATTTAAGAAGGCAGCTAAAGTTACGAATTGCAAAGTAAAATCCAACAAATTCCACTCCCTTGATTTAAATTTCCAGTGTCCTTTCAAATTTGAATACACCAGACGTTTCCGGTGATTCGTCCGAAGCTTGTTTGGCGCGGAAGTTGAATTTGGTAACTGTTTTGAAGTCTTTAGAAACATTTTAATTTATTAGATGAGAATCTTCATTACACTACATTATTGCGTGAGTAAGGGAAGTGATTTAGTGATTTATTTTGCGACTTAGATGTGATGTTTTATTATATTCGCGTGTCCTTACTCTATTAATATGGGCGATCTAAATGTAAATGTTTCTTTTTGTTTATTTGCACTATTTGTTTCTTTTTAAGGAATGGTCTTAACATTTTGTGTTATGCCTCATTGAATTATCTCCATAAATCTTTAATCGTTCATGCATAGTTCATTAGTTTGTTTTTTTCGTTAAAAAACTCCGCACTCATTATTGTGAGTTTCATCTGGTTTTATTCGAATCTCGCTTCAGTATTTTATTTTGTATTTTATATGATATATAAAATTATATATTTCAGATTATATTCTCACTTGCCCAACTGAAGTCAGCCTACACAATACATGCGTACTTGACGTTAAAATGATTTTCTCATTGCATGCAAACGGGATAAATGAATGTAACTTTGTGTTTAGAAGAACCATGGCTTCCATCAAACAGCCAGGCATTAACAATCAGTTTTCCAAGAAGCTTGAAGAAATGCGAATCACACTTTTAAACGAGGTATTGGGAGATGTGAGCACTGAAGCCGAGCTGAAGCGAGTACACAAAGAGAAGATGAAATCATTAAAAGGTATGAACCTTAGATTTTCGTCCACTAATGACATCCAGCAGCCATATCACCCTGCAACTCACAACTGGCAACCCACTGAAGCTAAGCAGGTGTGAGCCTGGTCAGTACCTGGATGGGAGACCTCCTGGGAAAAAGGACCCTGCGGTCTATATGGGTCCTAATGCCCCAGTATAGTGATGGGGACACTATACTGTAAACAGGTGCCATCCTTCGGATGAGACATAAAACCGAGGCCCTGACTCTCTGTGGTCATTAAAAATCCCAGGGCGTTTCTCGAAAAGAGTAGGGGTGTAACCCCGGCGTCCTGGCCAAATTTCCCATTGGCCCTTACCAATCATGGCCTCCTAATAATCCCCATCTATGAATTGGCTTCATTACTCTGCTCTCCTCCCCACTGATAGCTGATGTGTGGTGAGCATTCTGGCGCACTATGGCTGCCGTCGCATCATCCAGGTGGGGCGGCACATTGGTGGTGGTGGAGGGGAGTCCCCATTATCTGTAAAGCGCTTTGAGTGGAGTGTCCAGAAAAGCGCTATATAACTGTAAGCAATTATTATTATTATTACACGCTGGCGAGGTGGTGCATTGCTGGGGTCCACTTCAAATCAAATCAAATCAAATCGAAGTTTATTTATCAAATGCACAACAATACAGCGTGCAGCAGTAGTTACTGGCAATGAAATGTCTTTTCTGCAAGCTCACAAAAATCACAAAATTAAGGTTAAGAAAATAAGGTTACATGATAATAGAAATGGAGTAAAACTCAATATGAATAGAGCTGCTATGTGTCCAGGGTCTATGCAATATATTATGTCCAAGTAGTGCAGTATGCTGAATACAATGAAAACTGTATGTCCATGTAGCCATCATGGATGATTTGCTAAAGGACCTGGGTGTTATTTCTGTGGAGTTTGTATGTTCTCCACATCTTCGTGTGGGTTTCACCTGACAGTCCAAAGACATACTGGTAGATTAATCGGCCCTGGTGTGTGAGTGTGTATGTGTCTGTCTGTGTGTGCCCTGGGGTGACTGGCGTCCTGCCCAGGGCGTAGTCTGCCTTGAGCCTGTTGTCTGCAGAGATGGGCTCTCCTGTCACCCTGAATTGGAAGAAACGGTTAAGCACTTGTCAGATTTCGTGATTCGTCTTTTCCCCTTTTTCCAGACGCGTGTTACAAGAAATGCAAGGATGACGAGGCCATGTTTGAGAAGATGAAAGCATTTTTAAAGGGTAAACGAAACTTTTTGGGAAATATTAGGTTCCCCAATATTGTCTGTTTTGTGATTCTATTTTTATGGATTTTATGGATTTGTCTTCACAGAAGTGGAACACAAAAATGCCCAGATTAAGGAGAGAGGAGCCGAAATAATTGAAATTAAATCGGAAATTCAGGAAAATGAAATGCAGAAGGAGAAAATGATGCAAGCATTGCAGAAGCTTACGGAAGAGAATGCCAAAAAGCGGGAATGTGAGTTTCTCGTTTATTTATGCAGTACAGTAGGTGCAGTCGAAAGTAATTTGCACTTCAAAGTTAATTGAAAAATACTGGTTCACTTCAATAGAATGTAAGTTTTGCATTGTATTAAGCATGAGATTCAGAATATATTTAAAAAGGACAAGTTAACTTTCAGAGATGACACAATTTAATCATTCTTTAGCTGTTCCTTTACAATTATGACAGTCAACCATTATATTTGATTCAGCTACAGTTACAGGTTTAGAGTAAACCTGTTTGTATTGAGATCTCTTTGATTAACTTTGGTTAACTTTTTATCTAAATCTGTTGGCCTTCGTGGACTTAAAACTCAGCTTCTATATCCAGATTTACTACACTGCAATAGCATTTGAAAGCTTTGCAAATTTGTGAACTGTTAAAATTTTAGTTCACTGATTTATTTCATTTTTACATTACTGTTAGTCTTTGGTTCCAGTAAGACTAATTATAGTGGTCATAACTGTTGTTTTGTTCGTTAAATAGGTAACATTTCAGATAAATGTAGAATTGATTCTAAATTGTGGTTACTGATTATAAAGGCTCTTCTTGGTTCTGTACTATTCCCCCCAGCCAAACCTGTAACTGCTTAACTCCATTGGCTGCTTAAATGTTAAACGCTGGTTCAGTCATTATGTCTAAATCTTTTTTTTTTTAATTCATAGCTACTACATTTTCTGGTAATCTTTTTGTTTCAGAATCATTTTGACAAATCTATTGAGTATATGAGAATCTGGATCATTGATTTAAACGTAGAAGATTAGGTGGTCCTTATATACAGTAGGTCCATGTGGTTATTAATACTTCACCAATTGTTACTCCATTTTGAGCATTCACCTCTTATCTGTCCTTTTTTCTATCCTTTAACCAGTTCTCAGTCCAAAGACATGTAATGTCTTAAATATTTAATGCCTACTTTTTTAGAATTGGACTTTTTATGAAAGAGCAGTCTGTGAAAAGCTTTTTGATAATCTAAATGTATCAATCAGTTTCACCCCTAAAAGTATTAATTTTAAATCTTCATGTTTTGATTAAAAAAAAATGCTTTAAAAAGTGCACCATATTTTATCGGACCACAGAGACTGGTGTACAGCTTCGACTTTAGGGTAAGCAAATTATCAATTCGATTTTTTTTTTCTTCACATTTCAAGTGATGACCTCTCAAAATAAGGTGAATAAAGGCAGACTGAAGAATCTGAACAAGGCTAAACAAGTGTTTCAAGAGAGTCTTGGGTTGGAAATACGTAAGCTTCATGGTAAGTATTCTTGCAGAAATGTACACTAAATGATTTCGTTTTAAATAGAGAACTTAAATATGTTACATAATCCTTAGCTTTAAGAAGTGTACAAGTAGCCAGTCGATATTGGATAAAATAGTGGTGGTTCATGCATCTGCAGTGCTGTGCTGCAGTGTAAATCACACAGACTACCTAGAAAAATTGATTTGCAAGTTTTCAATGTGATATACTCTCGTCTGTAGGAGTAGAGATACAGATATCTCTGTCAGGATGGGTTTATGAGGAGGCTGGATGTAATGGCCAGGGTTGCATTGCCTTCCAGTCGCATCTCATCTTTGGTTTTGATTCCTGTGAACAAATTGTGCAAAATAACACATTTCCTGTGCTCACAGCCACAGCATCTGCATTCCATGGCAAATATCGGGAATTACAGTTTGTCACTTAATTGTTGCTAATCAATATTATACAAATTCCTACATTAAAATGCTTAATGGGCCTTTTAGCATTTTTATAAATTGTTTGTGCTTTGTTGGAACATTTTACGATTTTCTCTCATCCTTAGGGGTTTTACGACTGGCAGGGAAATGTAATATACAGGATGCCAGGGGACACTGATTTTTACGAGCTGTGGGAGAGAAACAAGCAGCTCCGCATGAGCGTGAATGTAAATCGATCTGGTCCTAGAGCTGCGCTGTGGTATATTTTTCAGGACAGCTTCCTCAGGGTGCTCATACTCTTTTTGGTGAACTTTTGGTTACAGTAATTCTTCGGTGTACTTGTTTGTTTTTATAAGGCGAAAAGCTGCAGTTTGTGTTCAGAAGAGTTAACCATAAGGATCTGGACAGCGTGTACACCTTTACACTGCGAATCAGTGAAGAGGGCATATATGAAGGTAAAGTGACACAAGATAAATCTACCAAACCAAATGAAACAAGAAATTATTTAATTAGTGAGATGTTAATCAGATTACTTGTTTTATGCTACTTTTGTCTTCTAGACTAATTGTTTATTTATGCTCCTTTTAAAATTGTTTGATATTGAACAATTTTGAGACCTAAGTTACTTTAGCAGAGGAAGCCAAGAATGGGTTTTGCTGAGAATGTCCTCATTATTTAAACCTAATTTTCTTTCCCCATCCAGTGGTTTCATGTGATCCACCACTGGAATGCATGTCTCATCTGGAGAGCAGATTGCAGGAAACCAACAACTTCTCTGCCTTTCTTACTAATGTCAGGAAAGAATTTGCTGCTCTACCAAACAGCTAAACATCCTGAACTCTGCAAACATCAAAATATATGATCCAATAAGTTATTTTTAACTGAGCTTTTACAGGCCAAAAGATCTAAGAAGAACATTTGTAGAATGACCCTTTTTGAGTGTTTTCTTGACTTTGATTGATTATCCTTGCCATTACTCATTCCAGGCAACTGAAGTAAGTTTTTTGTGTTGGGATTCATAAGTGGATATGGCAGTTGTGAACTTGCTCTGTAACATAATACTTGTTTGATATGCAGAAACAGTTTTTATACCTTTCATTCCCACCTCCAGAATGTCCTCAAATGTCTGTTTTTTGTATCTGTTACTTTCTCTAATTTGTTATTCTGTTATTTCTTAAGTATCAGTTATATTAAAATTACTAATACGTGCAATGAGTATTGTTTGTTCTGTTAAATATTGTTGATATTTAGTACAATTGTATTTTACAGCTTTAAATTATTTCTTTAAAAAAGAAAGAAATTCTTCCCTGGAACACTACACTTTTAGATCTATATTGTATCTATAGAATATATTTTAAGATTCTATTTTGTCTTTACATGATCAAATGTTCTGTATGCTTGAACTCTGATTTCTAAAAAACGTACTTGGCAGAACCATTTGGCTTCAAAACAAGTGATCCCTTCAGATGTGATACTTTTTTCTCCTGTTATATTTCTAGCTATAAACATACAATGAAACAAATCTCAGTTCTACATCTACAAAGAAATAATGCTAATTCCAAGGAATTTGTAAACATGGTAAATGGCAACAGTCATGTCTGAAGAAAATAAATTGGGCTAAAACTGAAATTTTAGTTTTTATGTGTACGTTTAAAATGTACTGTCCAGTTTCAGGTCCCACTTATGGCTGAAAGTATTTCTAGTATTTAAAACTGAGAACAGCAGGCATGTGTTTACCCAAAAGGCCATGAGAGTATGGAACAAATTACCCAGCCAGTAAGTCAGTAACCTGGGTTCGTTCGAGAAACAGCTGGATGAGATCCTTAAATCGATTAGCAATTAATTAGCAAACAATCTAGATGGGCTGAATGACCTCCTTTGTAACCATTTGTAATCGTTCTTATGACTCATTGTAAATTATGCCTTGGATTAGTAAATGACTGGAGCCTACAGTGCAGCAGCAATTTACCATGGATGTAGGCAAATGTATTAGACTGAAACAGCAATTTTACTGCTTTTTTTTGTGTAGAGAGATGTGTTATTAGCAGTATTTTAGTGCTTTTGGAATTATGGATTTTCCTAATGTACTCCATGGTGTTTGACCTACTTAAGTAATGAAATGAGACTGAATTGTGTACCGTAGAAAGAAAGATGCGCATCACATCCGTTTCCCTTTGCTAATAATAAAATCTTTATTCCGTAAGTAGTTAACATTTTTCTATGTTAATAGAGAGTGGAATACAATTTGAGGGAAAATATATTTTTGGGTTTTTGGTATTAGCATCTTAATGATACACCTATTTGCTGGAAATTAATTTTAACGTTTTCCCAAACAAGCTACATGATGGACTATGCTTGGTAAAAAATAACAAATGCACATGTGCATTATTTTTCATTGCTATTGGCACTTTAGCAATAATATCATGTAACTTATGTTTTTAAGTAAAATAGTTGTTATATTAGCATATATACAGTATGGCAGTATTTTTAAAATATCTTTGAAACAACATTGCAACAATATTTACATTACGTATAATGTTAGATACTGTAGTGCAAACAAATACTTGAGAGATGAGATTTCAATGGGAAGGGGAGAGACTTTAATTCTTGGATAATTTCAAGCCCTGAAATATGTACTGATAGCAGTATAAGGTATAAGTACTAAAGCAAAATTTCCTGATGAAATTATGGGGGTGTTGTCTTACTGCAGCATGGAAGATTAAATATCTTTTAGGACAGCAGCAGTGTAGCCAAGGTGGCTGTCTTTCCAAATCTACAAATATTAAGCATTATCTTTAGTCTATATAGGATATCTACAGTAAAATGTACCATTAAGTCAAAAAAGAACAATAGGCAAACATGAAATATATTTTTCAGGAAAATTAATCCCAGTTGCAGATCCAGTCCATTGTCAATCAGCCTATACAAACATGCTTTGTTCTATTTTTCTCACTACAATCTTATACAATTGTCTACCACCCTGATTCAGTAGCACATGGGAAAAAAATGGGAGTGTGTAATGTGGATTTTTAAGGATAATAAGATGTGCTAATGTGATGTCAAGAATGTTCCAAGTTCATATAGTTCGTATGCTTGAAGGTGGAGATACAGGACAGGCATTTAGAGTGCTACTTTTAATTTGTCTTCAGCAATGAATTCAATAAAAATCTAGATCTTTTCTGAATCTAGCAATAGCAATTTTTCCGTTTGAAAACATTTAGCAGCGTTAACTTGCCAGTTTTCATTAGATACCTGAACCATATGAGAATAGACAAGCACAAGCAGTTCATTATACTTCTGACGATTGGTTAAAATTTAACGTTGGCAATTCTTCAACATATGTAGATGGGAAATGGCCTTTCTTCCCTCTTAAAGAGCCATACCACCAACCACTGTCGTCCTTTTGGTGTATGTTTAGTACATCACCTGTTGAGATACAATGTGTGAGAGCAACAGCTAAATATATTTAAATACCCATCAATTTAAATGTTGATATTAGTGATATCACAGCACATTGCGATTTAGTTAATTGCATTTTTAATACTACAAAAATAAATCTACAAAAAGTAATCTAGAAGTTTTTAAAGCTTGAAGTTGCCTCATTAACAGTACTTTTAGTGTTTTTTTTCCAGTAATTGCTTACCTTCCTGTATGGTTAATTCATCAGCTATGTCGGTCTTAAAATCATAAAGAGCCCTGCATTTGCCGATAGTGGCAAACTCCATACCTAATATGAAGTGGAAAAAGAACAGAACAGTTTCATAAGATTTCTAAGTCTTTGACTTCGAAAATGTGTGTTTTTGAAGAGTTCAGCATTTGCAAAAAATACATGACATGATGATTTTCACAGAAGCATAGCTCTGCTCTGTCACACTATGAGACAGCACACATTCCCTTACACCAGTCTTTTAAAGAAGGAAATAAACGTAAACCAGTTTCTTACAGACACATTTCCATCCACTTTTATCAGCCGTTTTATCCCTGGAGGATCAGGATGAGCCTGAACCTACCATGGCAGATACAGGGCATCACTTCCCACTGGAGCAAACCATTGTGAAAATGGGTAGAATATGTACATTGCATATGGACTGAATGACATTAAAAAAAAAAAAAATTCTGAGCAAATAAGCCTTTATTAGCTTTTTTAGTGTTACTGATCACACTTATGTTTCTGATTTTCTTTCAAATTCTTGAAATGTGGTCTTGAAATGTGAAAAATTAAAACTTACAGTATATCCCCACAAGAGCTTGCTGCACAAATACAATTGATTCACTGGCTCTGGAGTCCACAGCTGTGACTACTGCAGCTTATTGGCTTTGAATACGAGGCCTTTCTCTTATTTACCTAACCTTGCTGGTTGTGTAAGCATTTTTTAGAGATCACTCTGCAACAGGGGTTTTGTATGTACAAAAAAGTACAGGCTGGACGATCGTACTATGGTAGCTGATCTGTTAGAGAGCATGTTTGATGTTTCATGAGAATGTGTCTATCATTGTTTACAGTATATATCACAGGTGACCAAACCTGGTCCCAGAGAGCCACAATCCAACAGATTTTATAGGTCACCCTCAACTCCTAAAGTAATGATCAGTTTCACGAATTAAGTAAGGAACGCCTAATTGTCATCCTTGAGGGCCACAGGGCACTGGGTATATTGCAAAACTGAAAAATTATCCAGTTCTTAGGGATCTAATGATATGGAAAGATGTGCTTCTAAGAAACCCAAGTTTCTCCTGTCCTGCAGATTCTTTCATTTACGGCTGTTGTTATGGAAGCCTATTTAATCTGTAGCAAAGTAGCAAACTGGGAAATAATTCTGAAATGATTCACACAAGCACATTTTTCCATATTTTGTATCTTAGATTTTATGGACCACAAACTATTTTACTTAAATTAAGTTCCCTCTGATGCAGCTGAATTTGCCTTTGAAGTTTAAATTCTCAGACATTTTTTGTTGATGAAATAGTTGTTTAACTGTTTGTGGCTTGCTAAGAACCTAAAGAACAATTAGATCTCAGTGAATCACAAGTTCTTATACTGGGGCTCTTACACTCTTCCTACAAAGCTGAGTTTGACTAATGATCTCTTCACAGATGAATTGAACGATCCACCTGCTTTGAGTGATCTAAACAAAATTGACCTTGTGTACACATCTTCCATGTAGCACCAAGTGTCAAATTGGAGCTGCATTGATACCCAAATGTTTCTGTTCTAGGAAGGTGGCACGAAAAGGGACAACATAGTGTTTTAGCACACAACCAAATCAAAAGCCCTTTTTTTGTTTTGCAGATATTATTTTGTCTTTATTTTGTCTTGAACCTGACTTCACCTGCAATCAAGTTTTAGACTTACATAATGGTGCTGCACACAATGATTTATCATTGACAAGCCTTGTCACAAAGGAAATGCATACCTAGAGTTCTTAACTGAGGTACTAAAGAAGGTTCTGATAAATGACTTACCCTTATCGATTTTCTCTTCATCATCAAAATCCGACAGGTACCCGTTATGTGCATCATTGTCTACTGCTGTTGAAGTTGCAGTGAGGGCACAGGCTGTACCACTGTTGCTACTTCTTGACACAGATGGGATAGCCGAGTCATTTTGCTCCTCATCATTGTGAATGACTGAGAATCTCATGGACAGCCTCGACCTGTAAGGTGTCTTTTTGATCTTGACTGGACGGGGTATTTGTACAATGCTGTGGTGATAGTCCTTCGAAAAAATGAATTTCTATAATTCAGTGAGCTGCTGTTGCATTTTGTCTGTGTTGTCCACTTTAAATCATATTTACCAAGTCATGGTAAATTTGTCTTTTAAAACTGTACTGTTCTGTCCAATGGTTTGTGTTTCTTAAATCACACGCCTTTTGAATGTGCTATCCCTGTTTGTTTAAATTGTACTGTGGCAGACAGGTGGCTCTCACATTGATATCTGGTGTATTGGCTTCTGCTGCACACTGATTCACTGACTTGAGAATTCAAGCACATGTTTCATGCTCTTTGGTTGGGCAATTATTCAATTAATGAAGTTTCTATGATTTGCGGTCGTTTGAAGGTCTGTTACTTCCAAGAGAGATTACATTTTCAATACTTTTTTGATCAAATCTACAGTTTAATGACCTTGGTTTATATCCAACTTTATATACTCCACCAGCTATTAGGGCTATTAAAGCGATCACTACATCAAGGAGATTGTGTAGTTTATAATCTCCTCGGACACAGTGTTTAATGTTTCTGAACCCATTTTCACACATGAATAGATCACTAGGCATAATTTTATCCTACACGGTCTGTTATCCTTAACATGGTGATTACTTGAATGTTCCCAACACCTGCTGAAAGTATATTACAATGTCATGACAGCTCTTTTATTTAATATGATCCTAAGAATCAGTTTCAAGCAGATGTATTCTTCACTAGCCTATTCTGCAGTCCATTCTAGTATTTTGTGTTTAATGGGTAGATGGTGGTTGCTGAACAAACCTAAAAAGAGAAGTCAGTTTTAGTACCATTTAGACAATGTTTCAATACCTTTGCATGCAGTCTTACCTTGTCTTTCCATTTGGTGATGCTGTCACTAAATTGATGTGTAGGTTTTGGTTTCCCTTGTAGTTCTGCCATAGTTGTAGAAAGTTTAAAATATGTAGCTTCCAAAAGGTTCAGTTTCAGTGTTGTCTGTGGACAATTTCAAAAATATATATTTTTAAATAACAGAATCGTTCTGAAAATCATTCTGAATATGTTTAACTGATTTAAATTATTGTTAATATTTTCCCCGTGGACTGATATATGGCTGGGAACTGGAATTTAATTTTCAAAATGAACAGTGAAGCATTAACCAGAGGATAGAGGATAACCAGAAGCTGATATCCTTCAAAAAAGCTTGATTCATACAAAAAAAGCTGGATAAAGTTCTCAGATAAATTAGTTTCTAACTACCAAACTAGCTACAGTACATGGGCTGAATGGCCTTTGTAACTTGTCTCAAAACTATTCTTTTGTTCTTAATATGCTTTGCTCATGATGTCTAATTGCCTTGACGATCATTAAACACTGCTAGCTTACCTCATCAAGCAACTGTTCAGTCTCTTCTAGATTCTTTTTGTTTGAAAAGGCTGGATTTTCATTGTAGGTCTTCATCATTTTCTCCAAACCTGTTAGATGTTTAAAAGGAAAAATAAATAAATCAAATGATTTCAGAATAAATCTTCCTTGTTGTAGGCGTATGGTCCGTAGCTATAGTATGTAGTCACTTGGCATCCTTGTTGTAAGTTATTGCAGTAGTCTATCAGTGACTTATTATGCTACATAACAGGTAAGCTCTTAACGTGACAAAGTTCAAAGTTCATTTGAAAAAAGGAACAGGTAAAGGTTTATTCCAGGCTGAAAGGAAAAAAAAAGAAACCCTACGTTTCAGCTGCGGAGCCTTTTTCAGGTGTGTGTATCCAGAAGCTTCCGTCTCTTTTCTTTTCCTTTCAGCATGGAATAAACTTTAAATAAACAGAAAATAAGCACGACTACATAGCACATGAACTACATGACTCTTAACACCTTTTTTGCATAAGCCATCAATACTCGAAGTGTGTGCACAATGTGTAATAATATAATGTATTCTTCTTACTACAGTACTATTGGATCTGTGCCTCTAGTTGAGATAATATTTAACATTGGATTTCAATGGTCATTTTAATCACAGTTGCCCCTTTGTAAGTCATTTCCACTACAGATTCAATGTGTCTTTCAATAATGCGGACCTTCCCGGTCTTTTCTGGTCTTTGTGATGTTATCCTGCAGCCGCTGGAGTTTCACCTTCAGGGAGGCTTTTCTCCTGTCTTTGGTCATTGTAGTTTTGTTGTCCTCTTCCTGTATTGTGCAAAAACATGTTGCCACAAATTTAATTTAAGCTTGATTAACCAGCGTTTTCACAGCTCCCCCCTTTTGCTCATATCTTGACTTCCTAATTTAAGTGAACACACCCAGTAATACTGCCAGATCCGCCTAATATCAAGTACTGTAGCTTGAAATAAATAGGGAAATGAATCAGCTGTAAGTAAATGGGAAATAATAATATAACCAGTACTGGTTCATAGGTATTTACATTGGTTAAATAAAACAACTGGAAGCTGTTCGTGTAGTAAAACCGTTATATAACATACAGTATAAGACAACAGTGGAAAAATTCAAATTTGATCCGGTGTGATTCATGAGATAATTTGCTGTTTAGATAAAACGTGCATCATTATCACAGCGGCTTTAACTTTTAAGACACCCCTGCTTCCAAGTAACTCTTGACGCCTGGATTGCTGCCAGCACAGACTCTGCTCGGGGGGTGCAGTGCATTTTGCCGTGCTGTCACAAGCCCCTTCAGAAGAAGCAAAAGAAAGCAGCTTGAGACCTGAGGAGATGGGAGTGAATTCCAACAGGCAGCAGGGGTAATCGCTTTGAGTTAACTTTCAAAATCACTTCCTTTAAGTTAACGAGCTGCCTGAGTGAGTCATGCCTTCTCCTGATTTCCAGGAATTCTTTTGTGTATTTTCTAAACCTACCACAAGAGTGTACTTATCAGAACTAGTGAAAGGCATTTGGGATAGATATTCTGTGTACCATTGCAATCACACGGATAGCAAGAATCAATCTGAATCTTTCACAAGGTAACACTCACAAAATAATCTGCAAGAAGAAACTCGGCTTTGTTGTCTTCTGAGGTTACGGTTGTCTCTTCCACTAAGGTCCGTATGTCCTTTTCCACATTGACATTCTTAATGGCTTGGTCAATCTGTTTTTGACACTGTGAGAAAACAAATATAAGCACTCATCAGCACTCTGTAATTTATTACACCTATTGCTTTCTTGATCATTAAAACTATGCAGTGCAAATATAGTCCAAAGCATTAAAGTTATGAAGTACAAATAATTTGCTTCCCTGTTTTATTTATTCCTGGCTAGTTCGGACATTGATGATGACAATTAGAATAGTGTATACATCTACAACTATATACAACATTTTAGAAGACACAGACTGTTAATACTCTTTTTGTGAAACAAGATGTAGTGTGTGTTTTTAAGATGCCAAAAAGGATGTCTATCATCTTACAATGATGAGAGTCTTCCCAAAACTGGAGATGTGCTCGTTGTACTTATTCAGAATTTCACATAATATTTCAATGCGCTGTTTTTCCAGCTCCTGGATGCTCTGCATGAAAGATGAAAGAGATTTTTATTGTCTGAATATGAAATAAAGAACGTCTCGGGCTTATTCTCCAAGGACACCATTATCTTTTACACAGGAACTTTCTGCAAAGCCCTTCAGCCAGAGCAGGCAGTGCCTTAATTGCAGTACAATCTGTCTACAGTCAGTGATAGTGGTGGAGAATTTAATAGCTGGGTTAAACTGGGACAAGGATAAGTGGCACAGCATGATGTTGTCTGTTACGTGGATTGTGAGTGCAAAGAGAGGAAAAAGAATAAATGAGATGAGAGAAATCACAAGAAATGTCATTTGGAAACTCTTATTTTTTTTGCATGATAAAACTTTTAAAATTTCTATATGTTGTAATTAGCGAACAGCAATAACCTGGTAGCAGTTCTTCAGAGTTGTCTCCCATTTTATTCGGTGTTCGTGACCAGCCATACTGATGTGATAGTATTCCTCATCTGTTCTTGCCAGGACTTCAGCAGATTTTGTCAGTCTGTTAAGCATCTTGAGGACAAATAAAACAGAAGGTTGCATAATGCATAATGTACTGTATTACCTGTTTCATATTACTGTTAGGAGAAAACAAGGCAATGAAATCTCATTAAAAAATATTATTGTGACCGTAACACGTAACGGTTACAAATGACAAATTTCTACTGGTGGAGATTACTGGCTTTTACTAGAATTTCATATTTAATAACAATAAAGCACACACTCATTAGAAGGATCTTAAGACAATTACCTTCTGCTTTTCTTTTTCAGTGGACAAATGCTTGTTGCTTTCCACAAAATTGAAGAGGGCTTCATGTTCCTTTGTTAACCCAAATAACTTCTTTTTTATCTGCATGGAAAATATATTTTAACATATACTGTACAGTATGAGAGGTTTTCAAGCATGTAGCTGAATTCCTGTTCCAAGGTCAGTTCCAGCTTACCCACATACTGTAAACACATGTACCCATCAGTAACCTCAATCTGACAATTGTGTTCTTAATATGGTAGCACATGCCAGATAATTGCATTAAGTATGCAGGCTTAGTAAGAGATTTAAGGAAGTAAATGTTTAGAAATGTATGCAATTTATGATTTTTCTTCCTCTTCTTGTATCTGCCTCTTTAAAAAAAAAACTGTCTTTTTTATGAAAATAATCCTAACAAGAAGGGCTGGTTTGGCAAAAAAACTTGACTTTGACTTGAAATATTTCAGCTTAACTAAATGGTCCAAAGATTATTTTTGAAAACAAAAATCATTATGTTTTATATTGAGGAATATAATATTAAGGGGTTAATGATTTAATTATTATGAATCAGCTTGATCACAAATGCTTGATAGTTACAGGATCATGATAAAACTGATCAGATAAAGGGACTTTTATGTTGACTAAAATATTTTCAAAATATGATGTTACTAATGCTAATTTATGTTAATAATTATTTTGTATGTAAACTAACAATGAAGCTTGGGAAATGCATGTAACATCTACACATCTTAGTTGTCTTTAGTGAATATTCTAAAATAAAAGGATATTCTATTCAAATGTCCATATTCATATGTTCATATTCAATATTTTGACTCATTGCATTGACAATCACAAAACGAAGAAAAAAACCTACCTTGATTTGCTCATTCCAGTTGGCTTGTACATACTTTCCACTTTTTTCAACGGCATTATCTAACTACAAAAAACATTTGATTTATTTTAGAATTTAGTAGAATGCAAGAGCTAAGCCTAAAACTAGTCCCCCTTTAGTTCCAAGTCACACACAGGTTTGGGTGCTATTACTATCTGCTGTACAATACAGTATCTGCTGTTATCAATTAGAAACTGCATTAATGCATTAATATTGTTATTACTCAATTTTTTGTCTGATGGTTTTATCCAAAGCAACTTACATGTTCACCCATTTATGCAGCTCGGTATTGTACTGTTGTATTATTCTAAAACCCTGCTCACTACTCCCCCCTGCTTCTGTGTTATACTTTCTGTCATGATCTACAGGTGATTAAGTCATTTTCAATACAGGAAAGTAAACTGACAGGATTTATTTCACTTTTTATGGGGAAGCCAGTTAAAATACATACAGGCTTTTTCTTTTTTGTGTGATCGTCAAGAACTTGTCGAATTTGCTGAATGGCTTCCTGCTGAAAAGCGTTTCCCAGTGTTCTACGGACAAGAAAATGGTTAATGGCAAGCCCACATGTCCAATTCTACAGAATAATCAATTCTGAAGAAAAAGCCGGGGTGAGAATTCAATCCTTACCTGTGTATATCAGCTGTAGAACACATTTCATCCGAGACATGACTCCAAGCAATGTAAGTAGAGCTTGAACAAAAAAAAAATCAATACCACCTGTGTTCTGTCAAAACTTCAATGGTTGCGCTTCACTGCACCCATAGAGAATGAGTTCTTCACTGTAACATTTGGAAATGTGGAATTTGCGATTCTAAACTGCCATATTATTTCAAATGGTATGCATTATATCAGTAAGTGCAAAAGCATTTTCTGTCCCCAAATCTCTATATTCTGTATGGTCTATATTCTGGATCAGAGTGGCATTTTTATTGAGAATATAACAGAAACATATTATATAAAAAGTGTATCATAGTTATCCACAAATATTCATCCTTTCTTGATTTAAGTCTGGAAAAAGTTCCTTGAATGTACAGTAACTAATCAAAAACAGGGAATCTTATATCTATTTAAAATTATTTGCAGCTTTCACTCATTAACTGACTTGTATTTCTTCATTTTACACTCTCAAATTTGTGGTCATTTTTGAAATATTGTCCAGTTGAGAGAAAGAGAACAGGATTGTAAATACAGAAGAAAAAGGAGAATGTGTATCGCTGTTGAGATCCATTATGGCCAAGGTCAAGATACTTACTTCTTAGTCATGCCACTTGATGCTTTGGTTAGCTTGTTAGCCAGTTTCTGCAGTCCTTTTGCATAACTGATCTCAAGGTCAGCTCTTGAAGCAAAAAGATTACAGTGATCATTATGTGGTTTTAGCACAACATACTGTAAGTCTCTATGTTCTTAATTACAGCAATGGCTTTTAAACTGGACAAGAGACAGATTCTGTTTTATGCAAGTAGCAATTTCTGACAAATAGCTGCCTTCATGTGGAGCTTAGAAGACATTCACTTTTCAATATACTGTACCTCAATACAGAAATAGAGAAACTGGTGAGAATCCAACTAAACCTTTGTTCTCTATTTATTCAGCGTGGAAAATATTTAGAATACATTAGGGTACAAAGAAGCTCTGATTACTAGAACTCTCATTCTTATTTGTAATAATTCCTCTGTATAGATTCTATTTTTTAAATTGTGTTATACTGTATAAACAAGTCCAGATTTTTTCCACCAGCATTAAGGTAAGTATAAAAATATCAAAATAGATTTTAATCAGTGACAAATGTTTCTTAGATCTATGGAACTATACCTGTAAAACGTCAGAATTAATTTCTCATCAAACACTGGGTAATTTGTAATGGATACTGACACAAATAATGGACGATGTAAATACAATTTTACATATGGTAAGGCAACAGAAAGGTTACTCATTTGTCATTTAGGTTTTAAGACTGAGGTTAAGAAAGGCTGCAAAGCTAAACAAATATTTCCTTAATCTGAAACCAATGCTCTGTGAAGGACTTTCTAATTAAAGATGTGCAGTTTCACCCCATGACTGAGCAAACAAACAGAAGTGCATTGTAATTTCTGTGGTTCTTCTGGTCATGCTTTGAAACATGCTTTAATTTTGCCCCGATTTTGCTCTTGCTTTACAAACAGTGAAGGTCATGGCACATTGTTTTTCATTTGTCCTGTATCCTTATCACTTTTCCACCTAAGGCAAGCACCCTTCCGACTGAAGAAAAATCACATTGTTGCTAAGCACCAACCTTTTTTTGTTCCCTTATAAAATCATTTGGAAATCCTTTATCCATGCCTTATCCTCTCCTATCAGCTGGTTTGATGTTCACAGTGTCTGAAGGTCTGTTAAACACTGTGACAGAGGGGGCTGTGCTTTATTCAAGGCAGATACCCCCCTGTGACACTTGTCTGCAGTCCTTGACAACTCGAGTGCCTGCAGTTAGTTCCCCTCTACATATTCACTGACATTGTTAGACTGTGAAAAAATAACTGCAGTGGTTATTAAAATTTAATTAGGGACATTCAGTCTGCTTCTTGGCTTTTGCTTGTTTTCATGAGGTAATTTAAAGCCTTATAAAATGTCTGACATATCCTAGACATCATCTTGGAAATGAAATTTGTATTTAAAGAAAGGATTCGGCCTAACCAAAAACATTTAAATTATGCTTATTATCATTTTTGTGATTGACACTGAATCTCTTCCATTAAAAAGTCAGTTTAATTCTACCTTTGATTTCAAAGGCTAATTGGGGCCAGTGCTTGTTTATTTTGCATGTTAAAAATGAAAAGAGAATGTGAAGAGTTAAATTGCATTCATTTCAGGCTATACTTGTTATGCAAAAACTGAAGGCTTTTAAGGACTGGAACTAAACATGGTTAATATATATTTTAAGCTATCAAAGCACATCCTAGAAATAACACAGGTGTTGTGTATAGCATTTGAGGACATTGATATGATACAGGTGTGACTAGATAGATAATACTTTATTAATCCCGTAGGGAAATTGGTGACTACATAATATTTTTGTAAATTGTGATATTACATTTTTTTAGATTTTGCAGTGTATTACCATTACACACTGTTTTTCACAGAGTAAACATACTAGTGTTTAGTTCGAAAGGAAGTGGGAAAACATACATACACAAGTTACCTTTGTTGAAAGACCGTCATGAGTTCCTTGCAGTAATGTTCTCCATTTTTTGAAAATTTCTTCAGATCCTGATACAGCAGGTTGTACTAGAACATACATGCAAACCACACTGTAAAGTCTCAACCCGATCCACTTTTTTTTAGGGGGGGTGCTTAAAGTATATTAAAATCCATGTCCAGTTTTGAACTAAAACTAGTACAATAAGTTCAAGGTTAAAAGTTGTTTGCTGCATGTATTTAAATTGCAACATCTGCCCTTCTGACAAAAATCTCTAGTTATTCTCAACTATGATACATAATAGGAGAGTACTGTTTTAAGGTATTAAATAATTCCATTTTCCAACAAACTGAACTGTGGCTCACTATGAAAATGATTTTAACCTTTACTTACGGTACAGCCGCTCACAGGATCCTTCATTTTGTTTTCCTTAGGCTCGAATTATTGACTTTGCACTCCAGACTTTTGCATTTATTGACTCTGCACTTCAAACTTTGGCCATGAAAAATCACTCACTGGGTAATCATCTGGGCTTGCTGGGCCAATAAAAAAAAACCTCTTTGGCAAATTCCATCTTTGGATTGTTAAAGATAGCCTACATGGCTCTCTAATCCTTCTTTCGGTTTGGTCGAAAGAGAAAGAAAAAAGCAAAACATCTTTAAACCATTCTTTTTCTTAATGTTAAAAAAACCTAAACCTTGCGAATCGAGTCACTTGCTTACCGTGGTTTAGGTTAGGTAGAGTATTTACAACTATAGTGTTTAATTAACTGTGGTTGTGAATTTAAAATATTTTAAAGGCTAACAAAAAAGCACTGAAACACATTTAAAATGTTACCTGTGTCATAAAACTGCTGAAACTACAGTAGCTTGCTGGTGACATACAAAACCTACAAAGCACATTGGGAATTCCTGATGAAAGTACAAGTTGCTAGAAACAAACTCATAGGAATGAGTTTCTTTATTCTAGTGTTTCTAGGAGAATTGCACACACACACACACATTATCACATTAAAGAAAATGATCGATCATCCTAATAGAATAACGTTTATTTTCTTTTAATACCTGGTCAGGTTTTTTACGTTTCCAAATAGTTTATAGAATTCTGCAACAAAGATCTAAGCTGTCTTAATAGAAGAACTGAATTGTCATGTTTATGTGAGACTGTAAATTTACTGATCATCTGGGCTAGTGACTGCAGTAACCACGGAATGTAATAACATGTTTTTACCCTTTTAGCTTTCTTTCAACACCAATTGACAGTCCAGAAAACAACATGCTAAAATGCAGAAGAAAAAAAAACCAGACATTGTCATGGTGTGGTCTTGTTTGAAGGAGTTTATTCAAAAACAAACTTGGCAACAATTTCAGATTTGGACTTCCTAAAGGTTATTCTGTCACTAAGAACTGTCCGCCAAACCAATTACAGTCAAAAATGTGAATCAGATTACAGTCTTTCTTAACCAAACTGATGGACTGATAAAAACTAGGAAACCTTTGCTATTAAATTGCTGCAATTTCACCTCGTATTTAGGCAGACTACAAACCTCTTATGTATATTTAATGAACTTCATTCATTTGAAATAAAAACGCATTTGTGTTTATGCTTGAACCATATTGTTAATTAAATACATCTGCTTGAACTCTCTTGCTACTTTTGTTTAATATTTAAGAACTGGGGAAATATATTCCAATACAAAGATCAACGGTTCTATACTTGATGAATACTAGAAAAGGAAATCAGAGAAGGCACCTTATACTACGTCTTAAGTGTGTAATCCTGCTGCCTCCATGATTCTAAGAAGAAGAGCAGAATACTTTGGAATATGCAATCTTTTGATCGGAAACAGTAAATTAATTCAATCTAGACAGTTTATTCTTTGTCAATGGCATCCACTTATTTAGCTGAGATATTAAAGTCCATAGTTGACCTTTTTCAGATAAGAAACTGAAACAGTGCCTTAACATCACTGAAAAAAAACATCACTAAAAAAGCTTTGGACAATCACGCTAACCTAACAGGAGACTTCCTCTAACATTTGTTTCTTATCAATGCTACCCATTTTCCCTTCTACAAATACCAAGTCTATTTATTATTTCCCAAAATAGAATGCAATGATTTACTATCTAGGTTAAAACAGCAAGAGATTTAAGAGATTAACAGCAAGATTCATGGACAATATACTTTTTCCTATTAGATGGCACCACATATATGTGGATGCAAGCAAAACATTTTAGTTTATCAGATGATACCACTGCTGCAGCTGGGAACCATACATTTTTAGTTTCCGAAAATTTCCAGAATTTCCTCTATGTGATCCGGTTACATACCGTATATGTATCGCAGATGATCAATTAAATACATGTTTTCTGGTGAAGGATTTTTAACTGTCTTGCTTTCCAATCGGACAACAATTTCATTAATCATGTTATGAACTGGAAATCCTTGTTTCAGTGATGGAGAAAGACGTACAACAATTTGTCAGTTGCAGAGTAAAGTTCTTGACTAATAAGCATGAGTGTACCGCTTTGGTCGGAAAGTGTATTTGAATTTAGAGTATTAAGTATTTTGTCCAGGAAAGAACATGCTTTCAGGTTCTCCTCCATAATAATGAAATGCAGCGGTTTAAAATGTGGCTCCCATAAATGAGTTTCCCATTGATGTGAATATCATCGGGGAAATGTAGGATATATCCTCAAAGCAATGTTCAGTGTAAGCAAAAAAAAACAAACTAATGCAAATACTGTTATTTACTATACTTTGCAAGAAACAGCTTAGTGGCTTGCTAATCATTTACAGATTATGTAATTCACCGATGTGAACACAAGCTTTAACCACGTTGTTGTTTTCAATTTTTTCATATTATCAACAGAATATTTCAGTGTTCTTTACGTAAACCACAGCTAACCAGGGTTTTACACCATAGGCTGTTGAAAAGGAAGTATGAATGGCTCTATACTATTGCTTGAATACTATAGGAACTTGGAATACAGTCATACCTTTTTCACTTCAAAATGAATCTAAATGGACATAATACTGTTACTGGTTGACTGGTTTACAATCATTATAAAAGTGTACTTCCTTATAGATATTGACTGAATACATTATTACTATTATTAAACCTGTAAACAAAAAGAATGCAACCACTGATCTAGCAAGTTGACACCACTGCATTGAAAGCGTATCCAAAATTGCTGCACGTGGCAAAAATTAAGACCCATATTTGTCAAAGCAGACTTAGCAGTGAAATTAATAGCAGCAGGACCATGACCTAGCAATTTCAACTTTGAAAGTCAAAAATTTCAAAGAAAAAAAAATCCCTTTTGTCCACAAATCTCAAACAAATATAAAAATAAATAATATACAAAGACAAAACATAAGAAAATACCGCTCCCATTATGTCCGACTACATATACAGAGCATGCTCACACATAATAAAAATGGAAATCCTTCATTCTTTCACGCACAGAAGACTGGGCAGCGCTCTATTAGAATGCTTTGATATTCTATTGAAACGCTGTTTGATACCAGGATACACGGTATCACCACAAATTCTATTAAGTACTTCTGGTATCAAACAGGTAATGTTGTTCATGTCTCACATACAATATTCTACTAATGGTGCTTGCGACATCTTTCCAGTGTTTGAAACTTCGAATCGGCAAGTGATTAGTGTTCGTCTTGACAGGGGGCCCCAGAAAGGTAGCCGTTGGTTCTGGTGGCACCATTAGTACCGTTGGTGGCGCTGTTGTGAACCTTCTGTGTGGGAGGCTGTTCCTCGTCTTCATCAGAGCTGGATTCAACGTCGCTTCGATCGTCTTTCGAAACCTAGGAAGCAGGCAGCAAAAAGGAAAGCCCCTCTTGTCACCCCTTTCTAAAACGTTGGAGGTTCTCAAGCCGGTTCGCACGCCTGGCGGCGCGGAATAGAGGAAAGCAATCAAAAGGGGCACGAGAGACGACGGAAAGGAAAAATTTCTCAAGCTTTGAAAATGTCGGTGAAAAAAAAAAAGACCGTTTAAGGTATTAGGATAACAATAAAAAGAAACCTTCTGTTCAGCGTATACAGTAAATATTGACTTTCACACACGGGCTCAAAGGCATGCAAATGAGGTGGCCTGTCTATACTCCTTAAACCTTCATGAAGATAGGTAGTAGATGGAAATGTTAATGATGGTGAAAGGCCTGGATATCTGTTGAGCTCTGAGTGGCCTACTCCATACATGGCCTACTCTTCATGCAGGACACTGTGTCCAACTCACATGTAAGGGATTCCATTTCCCCACCTTCAAGGTTAGCAGAATGGAGAGAAATAAGTCACACAAGAAAAAGCCATTAGAAGCTGAAGGATTTTTAACATGGTGACAAACCCACTAAAGCACATCACTGCCCCCTGCAGGTCATCTTTGTGTTTTGGAGGCTTGCCTTGTTTTGGGGTCTTCAAGAGTCTGCATTATTGAAGCTTTCTGCTGCCTGCTGCAATGAGTTAACATGCTGTTCTGTAACTAATGAGTGCCATTAATAAATTAAATAATCTCCAACGCATTTGACTCCAGAAACAAACCACAGAACAGTCTTAGCAATTACTAATACCTTAGAAGTACTTTTACCATAAAACTGCTTGATCAGTTCTTTCAAGTTTTGCCCACTAAGTTTTTAATATTAGTACAATATTAGTTACTTGGAATTATAGTGTATAACATTCTAAGATGTTGAACAAGCAATAATAAGCTTATATTTTCACTTGCAGTACAATACAGATGCAGACAGTAAAGTATTATTGACCCCTTAATTTCTCATTAATCTATTAAGGGAAACAAATTTGTCTTTGTCAATTAAAATCTTGGGATAAACCGTAAGGAGTTTAAAAATTCTTTAAACCTAATTAGTAGAAATAGAGGTTTCTTATACAATAAAGACATTAAAGCAGTAAAGTCTATATCTGTTAGCCTAATATTGTAGATTTCTCCATTTTATAATCTATGCATATTATATTTTATGGTCTGATTAACTTCAAAGGCTAATGTAGAGGAGTTAGACTGATGACAATTCTGTGACATGCATACATTACCTTTCCTTTAGAAATGGCTTTGCAAGCTATTTTTATGATGAGATAGGACCAGAAGGAATGCAGGACTTGCAGGAGAATGAGAAGGAAGTTGAAGACCCACCATGAAGGATAAGGACCCACAATCTCCCAGCTTTCAAACAGCGTTGTGTTTAAAATCCTGAAAATAAAAAAAATATCAACAGAATACACATCACATTTCTCAATACGCAGACTTTTAATGAGACAAGTACCCCTTCCCTGACATAGTACTGCAAGCATATTTCATTTCATTCAAATGAATACTCTCCTATTACAGTCACTATAGAGATTATACATTTGTTCGTTTGCTCACATTCAGTCAAAAAATATGCAATTTCCAATTGGAGTTTTACTGAGGATTAAAAGGAAAGTGGTATTAACCATACTGAAAAACATACTGAGCATCAAAAGAAATGTAACATCTCTACATATGCATTTTTTTAAAGTAATAATAGTATGCTAATTTTGGATATTGATTAAAAGTTATTTTGCTTAATTGTTCATTCATGATTGACCATGACAGATGTGAGTGACCCCTTTGAATAAACTTTGAATCACTTCATTAGTAAGAGAGTTGATTGGGAACAGGTGATGAGGCGATTTTATTGAACGTCAATTAAGTGAAAAAACTCTCAAAAAGGAATAAAAATGCCCTATTTATCAGGTAAACCAATTCCTTGTCATCAATAATTGGAAGATTGACTGTTTCTTGTTGTATCTGCTGTGTTGAACATTTGTAGGATGAACCGAATTGATGTTGTGCAGAGACCATGAAACAGGCACATGTCCTCTACACTAATGTATGCTTCAAACAGTCTCCCAGCTTCAAATGTGACTAGCCAGTTACTTTCATGGTTGACCCCCGTTGACAAATTTTAAACGGCATAATAAATTTACTTATGTCATGTCTGTTCATGTCTATGCTGTGAAGAAATCTTGCCTCCAAAAAATAATTTTTTGGATTTGTTAACAGTTTTCTTTTGATGCTTGCATAACAGTATGAAATTACCATAACCATGTGGATAACATGCCACCTTTATACATGAAAAGTGTTCTGCAATTCATGTACCTTTGAAGTACTTTTACTAAGTTGAATAGTGTGGTATAAGATAAAAATAGAAAAATGAAAGGTTAAATTATTAAAAATTAGCATGACCAAAAAAGGGTTTTCTGTAACAAAAACAGCCATTTGTTAATTTAAAACAAAACATTGGAAATTCCTTTGGAATTTCTTTTTTAAGAAAGGAATCAAATGAACATGTAAGCCAAATTTTGACAAATCTGAAAAACAAAGTTAGAAATGCATGTTGTACCATTTAACCCAAAGACAAAAAAAAGGTGACAAATGGCTGTTTTTGTGACAAAGCCAGGCGGAGTGGTGGCTCTGTGGCTAAGGATCTGCGCCTGTGGCTGGAAGGTTGCTGGTTCGTATCCCGTGGCCGGCAGAGAACTCCTACTCCGTTGGGCCCCTGAGCACCACCCTTAACCCCAACTGCTCCAGGGGCACCGTATAAAAGGCTTGCCCCTAAACATACAGCTATTCACTGGTGGGGAGCTTACTTAAATAATTTCAGATTTATTTTTATTTATTATATCATTTAGTATTTTGAAAACCTTTAAAAGATTACTGCCTCCATGTAATCAAAAATACCTTATAAATGTAAATGTAAATAAAAAGACCTTACTTTCAGACCAGAATTTAGTGAAGTTTTTATACTGCCTGTTAAGAACATATGTTCTAAAGCATGCTGATCTTCTGGCATCACTTCTGCTGATTTAAATACTAGAATTTTCACTACATATCCAACCCTCCTGTTGTTATTTGCAAGACCTTCTACATGTGGTCTAAATAACGAAAGTAACATCAACATATATTCCTCTATATTTTTTTATACTTCGCTCCTCTAATTCCACACAAAACATTCCAATATTGAAAATGTACATTCCTGTTACCTGCATGTAAAACCTTCTGTCTTGTTTTAAAGACTGTGAAAGAACATAAGCAAGTCTCACAGCAGACTGAAGGACAAAACCAGCCACTTACTGTATCTGACTGACCCTAAGCTATCAGTATAATTAATTATTAACAGTATAAGCTTACGCTATTGTGAAGTAAAGAAAACAGGGCTCTGAGCACCTCAGTGTCTCCAGTTTGGAGTGCTACTGCCCTCAATCCATGATCCAGTGCACATAAAGAATGTGTCAAGGGCTGAGTGGCTACTGGCATTAAATCAAACACTATAAACAGCAAAGAATAATTACAACCCATGGGAGCAAGGCAGTCTGCTTACTTTGTACAATCCCTCTAGCCATAATAAATTGGTCTAAATAGTCCTTATTAGTTTTTATGTTAATTAAACTTAATGCACATATATTTGGAAATATATTGCAAGTTTCACACCAAAAAACATTCCTGAATTTTTATTCTTCTGTTAGAGAAAAGTACTAATAATCCATCTGCTTAGCAATCCCCGGAAAGCCTCTTATTTTCAATGGAGGGTCATGGCAACGTGGTTCTTATCTTTGAAAATATACACCTTGGATGGAAATCCAGCTCCTCATAAGGCACACAGGTGAAATTTATACACACCAATTAAGCATGCATTTGAGAAGGGAAAAAAAAACAGATCATCTGGAGAAAACCTGCATGGACACGGAGAGAATGTGTGAATTTCACACAGAAGGTGCTCCAGTCCAGTATTGAACCAGTCCAAGATTTAGACCAAGACCTGGGAGGCAGCTGTGCTGTGCCGCCCCAAACTGCTGATCACCATAAACAAATTCAAAATACCGCAGACTCACCAAAATCTATGACTATAGACATAAATTTAACATGACATCTGTAATGTTAAATTAATGTTTAATATTGAAATTTTTTTTTTCTTAATATGGTGATGCTCACATAAAACATCTGTGGCTGATCTATAAAGCCAGGATCATGCCTTTTTTTAGGATAAAAGTAATGCAGAGCTGAAAATAACTGTAGCAGAATTAGGGTATAAAGTGTTGCAAGAACAGCAGAAGAAAACAGAGACTTGTCTTGAGAATAATGCAGACAGTCAAAAACAGACATCACACTGGCTGATCTGGTGCACTTCAGACACTAGTAACTTTGGACTGCTTGGTGCATTCTTATTGTAGGTATTACAGTAAACTGAGATTTTTAAGGCAATTTATTTCTAAGGTGCTGATACAATGCAGCATTATTTGTTCTTAATTTGGTGATAGTACGTTTAGAAGTATAAGGTTACAGAAAAAAAAAATACAATGAAGCTGTTTTTCCATTAAACCATGCAGTTGCGGTTTTAAGAATCTAAGAAAGGATACAAATAAGAAGAAGCCATTAACCCAACCTTACGTCCTTGATAACTAGTAGCTAAATTGATGTGAGGACCCAATCCAACTGTGTGTTGAATGATCCCTTAAAAGCAGGTTCAACCATATGGTTGTATCTTACACCCACCTACCAAATCACAGTTCCACGCAGTTACATTTATCTTTGATGTGAAAATAGCAAAGAACTAATCATAAACGTCTTCAAACAATCAATGACTTTGTGAAATGAAATGATGCTGAGGTGTGGTACAGTAGCACAGTGGTTAGCACTGCTGCCTTATCATGGAGCCCTGGATTCAATTTTGGACCTGGTAGGTTATCTGTGTGGAGTTTGAATCTTCTCTCTGGGTTTGGGTGTGAGTTTTCTCTGGGTCCCACGGTTTCCTCCCATAGTCTTTAGTCTGTGTTTGCCCTATGATGGACTGGCTACCCGTCCAGACTGTATCCTACCTTGTGCAAGGATAAGTTCCAAATCGACCATGACCCCATATTGGATAAAGCAGTAATAAAATGGATTGATGGAAATTATGTTGATCCGAGTTAATGCTGACTTCGACTTAAACCTGAAGGTATCTAGAAGTATAAAGAAATTGTAAAATTAAGTTTCTCAAACCTCAGTCATCTCGCCTTCCCCACTTCAAAGAATATCTTGGGAACTCAGACCTATTTGAGGTGGCATTTATTTTTACTCTTTGTCATGGTACATTAATAAATGTTGCTTATTATCAAATAGAATGAGAACTCAATATACTGTTTGTTCATATACCATCCTAACCTTTATTTAAAGTCTTGGTGCTTTAGTCTTCCACTATTATTCGATTTGTTTCTTCCATTGTTACATTTCTGTGCAGTTTATTCAGATTAAAGGAGGATATGGTTTTCAAAATTTAGTTGCAGACAATAAGAAAGAGAAAATGAAAGAAATGAATAGCTGTACTCTTTCTAATTTATGAATGCCAGTGCAAGAATTCAGAAGGACTGTATGAGTCAAGCATTGACACACTACATCCAGCAACTGTGATGGATAACTGAGCAATGTGAGTGTTAAGAGGCCAGAAAGTGAATTTCCAATTATACAGTCAGCATCAATTACTGCACTGAGCATTTTATGGTGACAGCAGACAGGCTATTTTATGGCATTTGATAAAAGCACAAAATACATCTCTCTGTAATCACTCAATATTATGAACACTTTATCTGTGATTTTTAAATCATGTTTAGATCAATGAAGCCAAGCTGTAATTACACTGACTATAAGAATTCCAAAGCTCCTTAGGTTAGATGGAATCTGTCACTGAGTAATGACATCTTAAGTGGCCACAACCAGTTTGTTTTTATGATTGACTCCTTACTTATTGTTTTGCAAGTCAAGTGATAAAAGCAAAGCCAGACGCTGGATGTGCAAATTTGTTAACATGTAAGAATGAAAATCACAGGGGGCATGACCTACAATTACATTCAGGGTTTAATACAAGTCTCTTATTCCTTCCATGTCAACATCTGAATAGGCATAATTAACAATTAAGACTGTTTTCTAAATATGAAAAAAACACTAAATGCTGTAAGCACAGTTTAATCATCGGGAGAAGTCTAAAACAGCACAGGAAGTGTCCGCTTACTGCAAATGACTGAGCACACCATTGTTTTTTAAACCTTCAATCATGTCTCATAGGACCAAAGAGAAATGTATAGTACACCAGACGAGGCTGGGCTCTGATATAATTTAAATTCCTATCTAACAAATATCATATCAATGTGAAGACAGAAAAAAATTATTGCTTTAAATGTAACTAAAAAAGGGGAACAATACGAACACACCAGCACAGGGGAAAAGCTTTACTGAGATATACTGTTTATTCTCTCTTAGCTTCGATGCAAGGTAGCATCATGCATTATACAAGAAGCTTTGCACCTTGCATTAGACTATAAAAAGGAGAAACATTAACTGACTGAACTCCCCAAAGTTCTCCACATCATGTTCTATTTTTAAAGTGCGGCTCAGTAGGCCGGCGATTCCAGTGCGTGACCCGTCTATTACTTACAATGAGATGCGCTTCATGTTAACAAGTATTGGGGCACTTGTAACAGTAGTACTCTCTGACACTTTAATGAATCTCTGATCAATGGGGTTTTTCAATTATAAAAATGAAGCACTGAAGATTCAGGAAGTGAACCAAATCTGACGCAAGTGTTACTATTGATACCACAAACAGTATATTAAGCTCCTCTCATTAGGACCTGCTTCATCTGGCTAATAGCTATCGACCCTCAATAGTCCTTCAGGACCATCATCAAGCATGCCTCTCTCTTTTCTTTAATAGGCTCAAACTAGTTTATCTAAACCAAACGTCCAGTTTGTTCTTCTATAAACTCAATAAATCTGCTGGTTCTGAGTGAGCACTATAAATTTCTTCTTGCTCACAAACTACGGTGAAGAAAATCTAAATTAAAGGGTCAAATTATCACGTATTTCCCTGTTATAATCCTTTCCTACTTTCCTACTATAAGGTTGATCATATTCCCTGTTAGTGATGTGGCTGCAATACCAATGGCTAAAAAGGCTTCTCATTGCATGATTTGCTTGCATATCTTGCTCACAATCCATATATAATCCACAAGGACTTACAACAATGCAAGTCACTCCATACATCTCATGAAACACTGTGCACAGCAGAGAGATCATGCTCTCACATGTCAGACAGCGCACACTACACATGCAGACTGAGGGCTGGACTGTAGCTCAGGAAACCAGACTCTCTTTGTCTCTGGGAGATGCTGGGAGAGAGACTCACCAGGATGTCATTAAATCAATCAAACCTACTTTAAAGGAGCAGCACCATGAGGCACAGAAAGCAGAATCTTATTTTGGTAGTTGGTAGTGGTGGGGTTAGAGGTAGGTCATCTAATTTTTTAGAGCAGCTGGCCATGTCAGTAAACACAACCATACAGTACAAGCAGAAATAACATCACATGCCCCATTTTATCTAGGTTCTGTTCAACTTCTATCCTAATATTTTTTACCCTACTTTTCCACATGGATCATTTTAATTTGAGTTCTTATTTTTATGGCAAGAGAAAACAGGATTATTTTTTTAATTTAAAACCCAGCCTTCTTTTATTTTTTTTTAATTTAAACTGACACAAATAATAATAATTGCTTACACTTATATAGCGCTTTTCTGGACACTCCACTCAAAGCACTTTACTCTTATTATTTATTGATATGTACAATAAATGAGGAAAATACATCAATCATATTTAGAGCATACAAAAGGTGAAGCCAGCTGCAGTGCTGAGATTCCTGATATCACAGATGTACTGTATAATACTGATCATTTTAGAATTTTTTCCTATGCAAACAGACACTTTCCACAATAGGGTGTACTGTATACTGAAGCACACTGTGAAGCAAACAAGTGAAACAGTGTTTTAATACAAAGAAACAGTTTCATAACTGGCTCATTTATATGACTCATTATGTAAGCCTGCTTGCAGAAAACACCTTAAAAGGGGAAGGGGATTGCTCATTTGGTGGATACTAAGCATGTTTCGGAAATTCTCAACACAACAAATTCTCAGTTTTAAATGTAAAGGGATTTTAAACCTGGCAAAAATTATCTACTGATTTTCACTGAGCTTTTGCAGCACACAGGTGCAAGTCTGAAACAAAATCACAGAAACTGTAAACAAAATGCATACTAAACAATTATGATCATCAAAAATCATGTAAAAGTTTGGTATGAAATCGGACAAACTTAAAATTACAAAAGATGTATCTGGTATGACCATGACATGGGTATGTTGATCAATGAAAACATTACAAAGTTAGTATGGAGTGTAACAGATGTCTTTCTGTACATTTGCAACCAGATGACTAAGGTTAGCTAATCACAGTGGTCTCCTGTCGTGGTTATTGTGTGGTCTGTTGGAAAAGTGACACTTTTAGATAGGCTTCCAGGAACAGAAAACCTCAAGGGCTCAAATAAAGCTAAAACCAAACTGTAGTAAAAGTTGCCTTCTACAGTATATGTACCAAAGGCTTCTTGTATTGAAGTATACAATTCCCTCACATCACCACACTTCCACTGTCCCACTGGTTTGCTTCTGTTATATCTACCAAGGGCAAAATGACATTCATTGGTGAATAAAACAATCCATTACATCATCTGTGACTGCTGCAAGTGTTTTCTGGACTGCCACAGGCAAAGATTTTATCTCTAAGCTGTCATCTGGTAAGTCCTCAATGGCCTCTATGTATACAGATTTTATATTTATACAAAGAACTTCAGTCAGTTTGCTGATTAGCAGGTTATTTCTTCCTACTTCCGGGATGTCTTATGCTACAAAACCACAACAATCTGATCTGAAAATGATTCTGTGGACTGATCAGATTAAATTATTAGATTATAATAATTAATTATGATTATAATATAATATATTATTTAGATTTTCAGAATAAATCATAGGCCACAAGGACAAATTAATGGCTTAGTTCTGAATAAGTATGATTCTGAGTCTTGTTATTTAAAATATTTTTATATTTGTTATGGTTTGGCCCTTTTTCCTTACCCTTTTTATACTATTAATAACATTATGAAGGTAATTAACTTTTAAACCAGCACAAAATTGAGCCAACATAGGAAGCTGAAGACTGGCTTGTACTTTCTCATTAAGTGCAACAATACTAGTATAGCAAAACTGTTTCAACTGCTCTGAGAGTATGAAAATCAGGGTTAATGACTGAAATTATTCAAAATTCAGCAACAGATGTAGATTGCATTGACATAACCAACATGATTGATACAGGCTATTCCTGCCACTGTGTTGCATAAAACTCAAAGACATTCACATTTGTAGATATCCTGAAAAGTGGACAACACAGCATAAGGACTAGGTTTTTCTTAGGAATGTAGCCAGCCGAATGCAGATATTGTGTTTTTTTAATCTTTTGGAATGTCACTTATGCCAAATTAAAAGGAACAATCAATTTAAAAAAAAATAAGAGAAGAATGCATACTGTACTTACCAAACAGGATAAATGCCAAGCCTGGTACTTATGAAGACCAGTGCAAACATGACAAATATGAGGTCACAGAGTCTTTGACACTTAGCATAATTGGCCATTTTAGCAGCCTGCAAATAAAAATATGGAGAGGATTTAGAAATGTCCTGAAAAATTAACTTGCAAAGTTTTAGGTTGTGATTCCAAAAAAGAATCAAACGAAATATTTTAATAGTTAAACATTAATAATCACAACTCTGTTAATCAACTAAATATTAATAAGGTATTACCCTACCTGTACAATAAGTACAATACATAAGATATAAGAAAGCAAAGGAAAACATTGGGGCTGCATTATTTTAAAATATATTTTAAATTACAAGTAGTAGTTAGTCTTTAGATTCCTGGCTTTAATATTTTAGCCTCAGTAACTTTATTACACTGAAATATGAAAACTTCAGTCTTAATGGGACATACTGAATGCAAATATTTTTAATACAATTTTTATTCAACATTTTGTATTTATACTAACAAATTACCAACAAATTACATCTTATCATCATTGTACAAATTATCCCAATAAGCTTAGTCATACTCATATTATGACTATTTAAACAGCCTCTTATAAGTTTCTTTTATATAGTGATAAATCATTAGGCTTGATCGTTTTCATTGAAGGCTTTCAGAGACAAAGTGACTTTGGCTTGTTTAATTTTCAAAATCAATTCTCACAGCCTTAATTAGTTTAAATACCCACTGGGCTGCTTTTCATCTCAGCTCTTCTGTCAATTTTTAATTTCTACGTCTTCTGCAGCTTTGGTAAGGCTCTAAAGCTAATACCTTTAATTCACATGTTATCATTGTACCAGGTCATAGGTATCACTACCACAGTCTGTACTAACACTCGTGTGTGGCCAGAATAGTAATAGAGGTTAGAATAGGGGGCATATTATGACATGCAAAGGCAAAATGCAAACAAGTAGAGAAATTCCTCACTCAACAGTAAAAAGTACTTTTTACTTAACAGCATGGAACTAACCTCTACCTGTTCCTGGAATAGCAATACATATTACACAAAATTTAGGTAAAATTAACAGAACTTGCAGTGATACAGTAAGATATCAAATTCCACAAGGACAGAAACATATAGTCTATACTGTATATGCTCAATATGAACATCTAATAAGAACACATGCATTGCCATGCAACAGACACATATACAAATATTGCATGCTTTTAAACATCAATCAGAAACAAATACATTTGTTTCAATGAGTCAGTTCGTTGCAGAGCTACAGTATTAAATTCTCTGTGGTGATTACCTACTGTTCCTCCATCTGTACCGTGTGTTTTGTCAATAAGCTTAATGCTTTTATAAACCTAAAATATTCTTCCCAACATCAGACTGATTTGGAGGGCTACACTACACATTTCTAAGGCAGCACTTTTGTAGGTTCCAGTACCTCAAGCAGGACATCCGCAGCATCGTGAAGGCACATAACCAGCGTCCCCACTCGCACCATGTTGTTGACATATGAAAAGGTTATCAGGGAGAGTGTTGCAAGGTGGTGAAGAAACATAATGAGGAAATCCTGGAGGAGAAAGAAAAAAAAAACAAAGTATGTATCAAATAATGCTTGACTATTGGGCAGCCAACTTGTAACATGTGAGATGCTTTTAAATATTTTTCAATGTATTTTTACATATTATATCTAAAAGATTATGGTATGTATCTCTGCCTTGCAAATGGCCTGTGTAGACTCATGAAAATCAGCTCCAAAATGTAACAAAACACTGTTTTCCTCCTTCTTTAGCGGCACACATTCGTCCTGGGGTCTTATCAGAGCAGATAGTGGTTTTATAAATGCACGTTTACCCTTAAAAACATACTGTATGGTACTGTGCATTTCAAACGGTATACAAAAGAGTTTTGAATGCATATGCATAAGATATTCTTCACTTATTTTTGGGTACCTTACAGCTTCCAAAAGTGTGAGGTTCTAACAAAGCCTGTATCTATGAAACCCTCCATCTAGATGAGGTGTATTATATCATACTTTTTTACAGAAGGATGTTGAAAGAAGGTATTCATAATTTACATCAAATCACTACTTAATTTGGGCACACTTTAAAAGTCTTACAGTGTTTCATGTTTCATTTCAAAATCAAACCTATGAATGTTAAAATACATAACATTACACAGGGGGTACACATACACCAGCAATTTACTTCTCTGGTACAAAACCCAAGCAGAGTGCTTCATTTTCTAGCATTCCACTCTTCTGAAGAAAGCACTCAAATAATGTTTGACAGGGCTTGCATCCAGAAATTGACATCTGGTGTGCCAACATACCAGTTGTATTTGCTTTTAGGTTTCTGAGTTATTTCTTCAGGGATGAAGTGTTATGCATGAGGCATAAAATGTTTAAGAATTCTGTTTTGCAGTTTTGAGAAGAAATGTTGTACTTAACGATTTAACTTTGGCATTAATCCATTCATATACACAACTGTATCACTTCTGTCCTATGTGGGTATTATGCATCTAAATGTATGAAGAAAATCCAATCCATAGCTCTCTGCCAAAGGCACCATCTACAGCTGGAACAGCTTAATTCCAGACACAGCTCCATATTTCCACATTTGATTCCTTCCTTTAACTAATGCTCTTCTCACTGAGACAAACTTATTTCATTATGGAAAAATGGAGCTTTCTTGTTCAACTTGATAACTTGAAGTGTTTGTTCTTTCCTAAAAATATTGAATGAACCTTTCCTAATTGGAAGTAGAAAACAATTGACTTATCCATTTTTAATTAAAGGTGTAGCACCTTTGTTTTTAATGATGCAGTTTGATACTTTAATAAATTCGTTTTTGATGTTTATCATGCCAAATTAGAATCGCATAGTTTAATGAATATACAGTAATACACACTGTCAGAATCCATTTCCAAGCATGCCAAGTGTTTATGGTATACTCATGAAGCACAGTAATGTTTATTTTAAGAATTTTTCTAATACATATTCACTTAAAATCAAAAGGATATGCACATATCTTAAACATCAAGCTTTGGGATACACAGTCTAAGTATGTGGAGTGTTAGAATGCACAAAAAAGATGCAGTGGTGTACAATCCAACTGAGCACCTCATGTCCTGTAAATCTCTTTAGTGTAAAGGATACTCTGTATTTTGTTTACTCTGCCTGAATATGTAGTTTTTTCTTGCACTTTCTCCCAGATCTAATAAAACCTGAATTTTAATGGTGCTAAACCTCAGTGAGATTTATACATGGCCATATAATCCACTACACCACAGTCTGGAGATTTAAATTTCTCCTACTCACATACTTCTTCTGTGAAAAAGTAGCAGTCACACTACAAAGCAGTGTAGTTAGAGAAGTGAGAAATGGCTTCACCAATTGAATTAAGGGGAAACTGTAGGAAGACGAGATTGTAAAAGAATGTAATTTAGTCAGGAAAACAAGAATAACACCCCTAGTCTTTGAAAATGTGTCATGGAGCCTTTCATATCAAAGTCGTCTTATGTCTTATGTCTTATCTGAAGGATGGCACATTTCAAAGCACGGTATCCCTAGTTACTTAGGTACTGTGACATGAATCCAGAAATGTTGGTCCAGATGGGAAAGTGCCACCTATTAGACCACCAACACCACTTGCAGCAGCATATCTCATGTTATCAGGCTACCAAGTGGTAATACTATTGCAGGGGTGTTATTGTATGAAAAGTAATAATATTTTACCCTAATGGTCAATTATTGTTGCTGACAGCTGGGCAAACCTGTAAAGTCAGGACTACAGGGTACAAAACCTGCTTCCAAGTTAAATAATGCTTTATTTTGATTAAAAACACCTTATTCCTAGTACGGGTCATGGCAACCCACAGCCTGTCCTTGAACCCATAGGCACCAAGGCAACACTACACACTGGACACTGTGGGACAAACTAGAGACTTGTCTCTGGAAAGTAAAAAGGGACCAGAGCACTCAGAGAATACCCATTGGGAGCACAAGCACTTTAGAACTGAACCCCTGACCCCATTCTTGGAGGCAGAATAAAGCATGACACAACAGCATGCAGTGCCATATGCAAACAATCAAATAAAGCCCCTTTCGACTATTTGTGTATTCCGGTGTGTAAAATGACAACTGTCTCTTATTTTGATTACTGGAAACACAGGGGATGGGTGTTTTTGGACTGCAGGTTCATTTCACGATTAAGATTTTCATAAAAACTCTGCAGTGATCAAAATAGGACTCATTATGGCCTTGACCAAGAGTGAATTTGCAGCATGCTCATCATTCTTGTCTGTATAACTAAATAATTATATTTAACATGCACAATGCTAAAGGTGGAGTAGGGGGACGACTGGCTAATTAAAAAAATCATATTCACTAGAGCCAATATTTAGGAAATATTCAAAACAGCCAGCTGGACTGTAATACAAGGCACGGTTAAATACCAACTCAATTCAGGTGATCTGATGTCTTAATCTCTTTGCATATCACACTAAATGTATCTGTTTCAGAAACAGTCTTGGTCAAAAATTAGCAGTACCAACATTATTCAGATTTTACCATACGTGAATAACAGCCCATCCTCTCACAGAGATATGCAATTGTTCTTAAGTAGAGAGGAGCAGTAAAAGAGTAAGCTGGGCATGAGGACTGAGAGCAGAGGTGTGAAATGCAGAATAGAAGCATGGAAAGAGTGCAGGGAACATACTGGATTTGGCAGGGGAGTGCACAGGACCTCCTCAGTGCGTTGTTTTGTGCATGAAAAAACTGAAAGAAGAAAACAGACAACATGCAAACAGTCAACAAAGAGATGAAAAGCGAGTGCATCATAAACTGTGGCAATCTGGGGGCAGTCGTGCTCAGGGTTGGAGTTACAAAGAAAGACAGACATGGAAGAATGCAAACAAGGAACTGGTGAACATGGGAACATGCACAGATACCGTGGTATTTAACTCTACAAAACAGCAAATAAAACCAACTATGATACACACGTTTCATATTGGCCTCTGCTCCTTAACTGTAATATAATCCTTTTAGGTAAGTGCTCCTGGAGTTAATAATTTGCCATATGCTGACTGTGCAGTGTATACAGTATAGCCCAGAAGATGACAAACATCACATCACCTTAGATATTATCAATTATTTTTTTTTATAATTGCTTTCTGACAGTAAAAGCTTTAAAAATGCACCAGCCAGTTAGATTATCCAATGCAATGTCTGTTGTCAAAGAAGAAATGTCCTTGAAAAGGATGCAGTCAGCTTCTTGAGAACAAGAATTTCAGGACATATTTTCTGTGAAGACACATGAAAATGCCTTGTATTTCTACTACTCAGATAAAAAAGGTTCATTCAAATAAAGCACAATCGACCAGTGGTGTGTTTATTATTTTTATTCATAATACGTTGAACTGTATGCGGTCAGGTGTCATCTGCGTTGATGCTGTGTTGCGTATGCCTCACTGATATTTTAGATCATATTATAGTTAAAGCAGGGGTGAATGCATTTTCATCTTCTTCACGTTTGAGAGATTTACAGGATTGCACGTTCACAATGCTAAATAACTATGATGTCATATCCCAGCCTCCATAGTTAACATATCTGACTGTTAATTATTACTGAGTTGATCTGGCGTTTAAAAGACTTAAAGCGTAATCTGCATTTATGTGGGAACGTATTTAATAAACGTGCAATCAGCAAGCATTACTGTCTTTGCAAAACGTTTAACAAAATAATGAATATACAGTACAGAACACGTGTGCAATGGTTCTGCTGAGAAAAACAAAATGCTTTTTGGTTTCTCATATTTAAGAAGGTTCCGTTTTACTGGACATCAAGAGACAGTAAATAACATTAGCAGGAGTACAACGCAATAAACAAGTTCTGCTCAATGACAATGTCTTATTAATGGTAAGATTAATGGTAAAATCCATCCATTTTCTAACTGTTACTTCAAATTTGGATCACTGGGGAGCCAGAGCCTATCTTGGCAAGCACTAGGCAAGAAGGTACAACTTGGATGGGATACCAGTCTATAACACATACAAACACACACACACTCATTTTTCCACTCGAACATGGGGGAAACATAGAGTACAAACTCAACGCAGATTGCATTCCAAGTCTGGAACTGAACCCAGGACCCAGTACGACAGCAACGCTAACCATTGTGCCACAATGCCACCTGCTTTACAGTCTCTTACTATTAATGAAGTTAATGCTTTGTTAAAAGGAACTGCAAGGTTACTTTTACATTTTGCGGTTGGAAAATGATCAGCAATAATAAGCGCATTTCAAACCTCAATGAAACTACCAAATACACAGTAATGTGTACAACCTCCAGTTTACATCACAAAAGAGATGGAGTATGTGTAGTGCCATATTACCATTGTTGTCTGTGATCAGAACGAGGCAACAAAACTTGCAATGATGCCAAAGTGGTCCTATTACATTGTAAACATGCTTTAGACCAAGCAAACTTTGCTACACTATTAATAGTAAATATTTCTATGAAACCGACACATACAAGGCGACATACTTTTAAGTATTGCAAAAAAAGAGCAATCTGCCAACCAACTAGAATACACTCATAACGATTAATGTTGTTAGGAGACCATGTTTCTCATTTGATTACAGCAACTAGTGAGCAGGAAGGGCTGTTTTCACGTCACAATTGAACTCTCACTCAGACAAGCAGTTTCTGTCTGCCTGCAACAATAGGCAACCATACAGTACTTTTACAAAGCACAAGAGTTTAAATTCAATATTTGTAGAATTTTGCAATACCATCAATTGATTTATTTTGAAACCAACATTTAATAATCGTCTGAAAAATTGGAACTGCTGTTCCCCTTTAATATGAATACATTTTATGATGAGCACTCACAGTAATTTTGAAAAGATAGCACCCACGGCTGTATGGTTTTAGAAGCAGAGAGAGAGTAGAGAGTAGAGAGAAGAGGTGTAATTCAAATCGTGAGGTTTAATGGGGCAACTCACCTGGCTGAGGAGAACAAAAACCTGTCCATGAGAACAGGGCTGTCACAACCCCCTTTGTTTAATAAACCTCAGCTCTGTTTAATGCTGCAGAGGCAGAAATGGGATGGAGAGAGAGAAGGTGAAATGAAAAGTGCAAGGGAGTGAGCAAGAAGCACAATATTTATACGTAGGGAGGTAGAAGTGGGCAAGACTAGGTGTTGACCTCCTCTCGGACGTTTGTTTAAAACATTCAGTAGAAGTTACAGCTGACCTTCCCCTAGAGGTCTTTAAATAAATAATTAATTGTTATATAACTGGTGTAGGGCCAGAAACCAAATTCTCACATGGTTTTGCATAGAAAATAAGAAGTGTGCATCGTGTTAGTTGGTAGTGGGGTTTTGAAGAGCAGTCTTGGTCTCCAGAGTGGGTTTTGGTGAATGAAGACTCCATACCCTGCAGCCTTTAGTTCATTGCAAGTTTTCATGAGCTCAGGCCTCACGAGCCACCTTATTTAAAGTCTGGCCAACAAATCATGTATTTTTTTAAGCATCATGACTAGATAGTATGGATGCTGAACACAATCAACATTCTTCTTCTCTGAGATGTTAATGTAATTTAAATGCCATCGTATGGATTGAAGGCAATCCGTATTTATTTTCTTCATTGTTCTAATTTGAACTCATTATGTGCCATTAATGCTATTTGAGAAAAAAATCTTATGTTGGGTATTAACACTGTGCAGAACAGTCAAGCATGCTAAGGCATAATTGTTATAATTTGCAACATTAAAGACACATAAAAATCTGAAAATAATTTATTCAAAAGCATGAACAGGATATTTAAAGAAAATATTCACTTGGGGATTTTGATTTATTCCATTATCTTTCTCAGGAACTGCACAGAGGCCTAGATGGCCATATGTCTACTCTCAGGACTCGGGCTTTGAAGGTCTGAGGATTACAGATGAGCAGATGCTCACAGAGTAAGACTGTTGTACAAATTTAACTGCTTATCTGATTTGGGTTTTCTGCATGGAATTACTATGGCACAGAATTCCTGCAAAATAATTTCCCATGGAATAAAAGCAAATGAGTGACATTTCGACATGATTAAGAGTACTGAGAAAAGGCCTGCCCCTATTATTCTGTCCTTCAAGGCTGTTCAGAAGAAATACAGTATGTACTTATCAGAATGTAATCTCTTGGAATCAGAGATTTTATATTACTGCAGTACACACAGCACACAAATTGCAGATATATACTAAAAGGTTAAAATATTAGGAACAACCCTCTAATGCTGTCAGAACTACATCATTATGAGGGCAATCAGAAAAGTTAATTGATAGCAAAGATTGAGGTACTGTCACGAAATGTGAAAAGGAGCTGTCTCTTTGGTATATACAACAGGTGTTCATATGCATGTCCACTTGTAGGGAAGCACGTGCTGAAGGTACGGTAATTTGTCTTCCTTATCTGGAACTTATATCATGATATGATCATATGATAATTTGACATGTGTGAAGGAATAGGCAGGCTCCATCCATAAAATGGATGAATTTTGAAAATCACTTTATTTCATTGATGTATTATTTCAGACACATAAAAGCTCTTTTTATAAAAAGATAAGTATTGTACTTTAAGTAATGAACTATGAGACTGAGGACTCATGCAAACAACTGTGTCACCCAAAAGACTAAATGCCAATGCAAAAATGAGGCAGGAGGTCTATTCCTGATATAGGTTGTTCAACATTGACATTTTAATGCAATGCTTATATAGACGTTATCAATAATATCTGCAAAGCCCATCCAAGATATAATTATAAGATATATATATATAAATATAAGTAAGGGTGAAATCCATCCTGTTTCTGATTTGTTTCTTTATTGTCAGGAGAAACAGATTCTTTTAGTTTTAGTGGTCATGAATGTTGTTACTGTTTAGCACTCTTACTGAGGTGAACCTCAGGGATCTCTTCTGGGGTACCGTCCTATTCAATACCTCCAAACTACTGGGTAAAATAATTAACAGTAATAGCATGTACTTCACATCTACTGTACATTGATGACAATGCAAATCTATCTAAACAGTGAACCTGATGTTCCTTTAATTGTTTCTGTTCTTAATATCTGTCTAGTGAACTTTCAAACCAGAACACAGTAAAAAGTTTTGCAATTAAATTTTAGCTGAAGTGATATTATTGGGTCTATGAATCAGTTCAGCACAGACAGCAAGTTCAGACTAGTTATAGTTCTGAGACTGTTTTCAACTTCTGACGTTACAAACCAAGGGATTGGATCTGACTCCAATTTTCCTTCGAGGAAAATCTGTAGTGTTATTTAATCATTTGCAAAGCACTGCTTGCTTCACACCTTTTTGTCTATGCTTGATGTGGAGAAACCGGTAGATGCTTTCATTTCATTAAGGATTACTATAACACTCTGTTTGCTGCCGTTTCTACACAAAAGGAGGAAATATATTTAACATAGTGCTTCAGGGGTTTTAACTTTTTGAAAAAGGCACAACCACTGAACTAATTTTAGCATCTCTTCATTGGTTATCAGTTAATTTTTGAATATGCTACAAGATCACACTGCTTACTTTCCAGAAATCAGAACCTGTGCTCTACCAAAAATGGCCTTCTGTATGTACCCATGGCAAAGTTAAACCTCATGGAAGGGCAAGTTTAAATACTTTGGCTCAATGTGTGTGGAAATCCCTTCCTAGGTTTATTAAAGAATCAAAACACTCATAATGCTTTAAAGGTGGAAAAGGTGGCAGAGATGAGTCCTGTGTTGTAAAGTTGCAGGACCAAGACTAAGATAGGGCAGTGCTACAACTTCGTAGGAAGCAGGATTATTACCTTCAGACACAATCCTGTCACATTTCAGAAGCAGGGCAGGTCAGTACTCGCACTTCCAGAGAAAATTAGGTTTTGCTGTACCCAACATTGGGGGATCAGTACGTGGCGCTTTGTCCTCTAGGTCAGAATTATCAAACCGTTGCTACAGTAACTGGATAACTGAGCTGTAGGAAGTGTAATCCTTTAGACAATATATGAAACTAAGACTTTGATTACTCGGCTATTAAAGATCCCACAGCACTTTTCATGAGAGTAGAGATGTTAACCATGGTGTCCTTTGTGAAATTCCACCCTAGGCTGGTAAAATCTGTCCTCCCTAGAATTTCCCTTTAATTCGATTGGTCTAGTAGTTTCTAACCTATCCATCAGGTATGTTGTGTACTTGGGCTGCTGACACTTAATGGCTGCTATGCATCATGATAGTGGGAGCTGCAATTCAGTGATGGATAAAGTAGGTCCTTAGTACCAGACGAGCAAGTACTGTATACAAACAGCAATGAATAGGCTGAACTTAGGACAAGCAAATCAGAGAAGTTGCATCTGGAATATTTTTATTGCATGCAACCATGAAAAGTGCCATTGTATATACAGTACAGTATCTTACTCTGGCCTTCGGAAAAGATATTCTGGTATACATTGTTAAAACACATCAAGGCGTTTTTATACAATGGCTTATTTAATGTTTAAATGGAATCCATCCACTGGTATTCCCATTCTCTGTTTTAATGCTTTTTATGCTCTCATTCTTTTGTGTATTCTGTGAAGTGCTTTGGGACTTTTTCAATGGAAGGGGTGATGAAAAAGAAATGCTTTATTTTTTTATCTGGCTGTCGTTAAATTGTAATAATTTAAAATACCTATGTGCAACAGACTGTCACTTCCTGCATCTCTGCTGGATATTCTGAAAATGAACGATTAATTCAAAATTAAACACTGCTCACTCAGGGATTTACAAATCAAGTTGAATAATTGGCATTCATGGTACTGTAATCAATAGGCGTCTTACCTTCCTTCTAATATCCGTAAACTGGGAAAACAATAATGACAAATAGAAAGACAGCTCCACTATGTAGTAGTAGTGAAGGTCAGCTGTGAGAGGCTGTGAATAAAGAAAACAAGAACTGTTAGGAATGACCCACAACATTTAAACAAAAAAATATACTGGAGAAAGCAATTAAACCTCTGTGTCTAACTGGGATGAAAATAAATTCCTAAGGAAAAGGACTGGAAGTCCTGAGCTAATGCAAAGAAATTAAAATAACTGTAATTGAAAGATACATGAAAGTTTGTTACACAACGATCAGACTATTATTAAAACACCATTGGTGTTATAGTTTTTTCCTCACTGAGTGTGCTCGTTCAATGAGCAGGAGCATTTACACCCTACTCTGGTACTGTTCTGTCAGAGCTACAACAGTGAACCCAGGAACTATGCTTGGCAGCTGCTGAGGATACTGGGAAGGGTATTGTTCTGGACACCTCAACCTTAGGGCTTAAAAGTAGCTAATTAGCTGCTGTTGATTTTTTTCTGCTTTCAAAGCTGTCCTACAGCTTGTGTTGCCCTTGTGTTGTCTTTGACTCCCAGTCTGTTTTTGGTCATTTTCTAGGCGAGTGTGTGGTACGTGTGAGTAGGATGTTTATAGGGAAGCAGGTGGAACCAGGGAATTCTCCTCTTTTGAGTTGGTGTGCTTGCGTGTGGGCTGTGCCCTGTGCAAAGAACTTACAGTACTAGCTGCTGAGTGCTGCCAAACTGAAAACTCTACGGCTATAATCCCTTGTGCAACTGAACCCTTCAGTTGCTGGCTAGGATTGTGATATCATTCCTTAAATTAACTGGGAAAATGAACAACATCAGGTGAAATAGAAGCTAATGAACTCTTTTGTAAATGTCTGTATGTACTTATACACAGGCTTGTGTGGGAACTTACAGGTCTTATCAATGCAATCTTCTTGTGAATTCCAAAGCAGTTGTGAGAAGCACATAGTTAAGTGTCTGTACTGTACAAAATTGGATATTGTACAGACTGTTCCAGACTCTTAGACAGGGGTCTCAGAATCTCATGACAGGAATCTTTGTTTTTTGAAACAGAATGAAATATCATAGGATATCAGTTCTTATTTTTCAGCCACCAGAGGATGGATACATTTACTATCTTTTTGTGAGTGATTCGAAATGTCATAAAATCATAATACATAACAGGAAGCTACTCATAACAGTTTCTTAAACTCTAATTAGAGCATATGATGATTCGCTGATGATGCCATTATTTGGACCAATATTTGCAGAAATAATCTGATAATTACCTGATAAGGGTAGTTGTACCAAGATTCTCTGGTGTTCCAAAGCCAGGACGTCTTTATAAGAAACAAAAAAAAAAAAATGTCAGAATGTTTGACAAACGATTCGTACAAACTTTATGTGGAGCAAAAGTGATTTATTTAAACTTTGTGTCATTCAAATTCATTCCTTAAAGAATGTTAATCATCTATTTATTTTCAGTCCTCTAGTCTTCATAAAAGTTGTAGAAATAAAAAAACAGAAACATAAAGGTAATTTCCTTTTTAATAATCCACATTCTATCTAATTAAAAGTAATTTGAATGCAATTTTTCACAATGCCTGTAAGGACAAGGAGTTAATTTCAGGCCCAATACTACAAATTTAACAATCGTTTTTCTTTAATATTAAACAAGAAAATTGTGTATACAGTATAAATTAACAGTGTTTATTAACTATTCTAAATTAGTTATACTGTATGTGTATTATATGTGTACAGACCTTCACATTTATGCTACCTTCTTGTTTTTTTACTAGAAAATAATGGTTTTAAAATTACTGAAGATCTGTGAGCGACAAATTAGTTTGTGTAGCCAGGGACACAGATTGAGCGGTAGGAGCTCATCATTATATAGAACAAAGCTGCACGATAAACAAACGAAAAATGTGGTCAGATTAGTTTCTCAGTTTACAAGGGAATTCATTTAGCAGACATATAAAATCTATTTTCAAGTCTTCAAGCATTTAATGCCACATGACTGGAGTTTAAAATGCTTCACCCTTTTCAAGTTGTTTGGTAATATGAATTCTGACTTGACCATTATGGGGATAATGTCAAATGTTTCAGATTGAGAAAGCAGATTCTGTTTTGAACACCATAGCTGTTAAAGGGTGTTGTAAGGAAAGGTCAAAATACTGACCAGGCTGCTACTTTTAAAAGCTTTTAAAAAGTTGAAAGAGCTTCTGCTTTTACTAGTGTGAGCTGATGGGCACTGCTTTCGTTCTGTCAGATGTTCATAAAAGGATTCTTTGGCTGAAACACAAGCCAAACAAAATAAATAAAATGACTGTTAAATGTACACTCAGTATATATGCAGTGTATTCTTGGCTGTGTACCTTGTCTGGTGATAAAGAAATTAATTGAACTTTAAATCGATAAGGAAAATATAATTATTTTTAAACCTTTTTTTCTTGAGTGGCTTGAGCTGTTGATAACCAAATCACCAGTTTCGTTTTAACAGCCCGTTGCTTAACAACGAATCGAGAATCAATGTTAAAGATCCTTGAAAGACAACAAACACCCATGGCAACTCTAAGTTCAAGTAGCAGCTGCCTTACAAGTACAGCACTTGCACACTTTAAAAACAAAATAAAACATAAAAACTATTTTTTTTGCTTTCAGAATGGATTGGTATAGAAACATTAAACTTGATCCCACCTCTATAAAATAAATATTTTGATGATGATTTTACTATATAGGTGTTAAATTTTGGTATACAGTGTACAGTATATATTTTGGTGTTATAACCAAAATGTTTAGACCATATCTAAGTTGTTGTGTTTATATTTTATTGGTGAACCATCACTATACATGCAGGAATTAAAAATCAAATTTCAAAATATATCCCATAATCAGTGCAAATGCAGCTTTTAAAACAAGAGATATGCCCATAGATTATCTTCATATCTTGGTTCTTGACATTTAAAAAAATAAACGCAAAACCCACAAATGTTTAATTATTTATGAATGGTCTATCAGTGCAGCTACATCTAAGAAGCCAAAAATGTAGCTACTTGGCACACAACATAAGTAGAATATAGAATAAAACTGAATTTTGCAACTAAATTTAAATGTTAAATAGACACCTCAAATATTTCAAATACTCAAACACTTATAGAACACTATAATGAAGAATTAAAATTCTTACAAATTTACAAATTCAGACATTCTTACAAAGACAGTCAGATCCCAAACCTACAGTAAGTAATATGTTACAATATCAGGTTTTAAAACAAATTTCAAGTACTTTACATTATAAAAGGCATTACATAGTATAACCATAGAACCAGCATTAAAATTCAAACTTGTTTATAGCATATTAGTGTACATCTTTTGGTTATAATTCCAAATTGTTCACACATTTGGAATTAGAACTAAAGAAATAAAAGTAAATTTCATAAATGAATTTCAAGATCATGGTGTCATAAAAAGTTTCAAGAAATATAGTGTAACCTCACTGTGTGTGCACCCTTAAAAATGTTAGAATATAGGTAATTTACAACAATTCATACTTTACAATGGACTAGATGCACATGATGGTTTTAGGTTTGGACACAAAAGGTACAGGAAAAAGAAAAAGCAGAAATCATGATAATATATTATTTTGGATTATTAAAAAAATATAGAATGTGTTTAATATTTTAGATAAAAAAAATTAAATTAATTAAACAAAAAACTTTACAATGGCCACTTATACATAAGGCCTCTTTATTATATAGTATATTATCTCAGCTTAGATCTGTAGTAATAGTATATACTGTACATTTTATTGTGGCTGTGTAAAGTTTCATAGATACTGTGCAAAAGATGCATAAAAATAGTTTTCAGTCTGAAAAATGGCACTACAAATCCTGACTTGCATGATGCCCCCTATTAATACTATCTGAATTTGCAATGCAGGTGTTTAACCAAGCATTATTTAGTTTATGTTGAAGCTGAGCAACAGCTTGATGTCATCATTAAAATATAATATATTTAACAGCAACAAGAACTTTGGAATCACATTTATCTAAAGTCATGCACACACGTCAGCACTACTTTGAAACCTTTCAGAAAATAGCCCTAGTTTGTAGTTCTTGCCACAAGAGGGACCTAAAATACAGTATGTTAGTATATTGCTTCAAGCAGTTTCTGTACCTCAGAGGCCAACACGGCAGTACATAAAATCTTGGAGATTCACAGGGTTAAAACCAGTATTTAAAAATGCAGTCTAGTGAGCCAAATTATTTGGAGGCTGGGCATCATAGTGTAATTTGTATAATTGAAACAGAAAAAAATAAATTTTATTAATAAGGACACAGGTGAAGTAAATGAGCATGCCATTAGAAATGTTTGAGCTGCTTCATTATAACCATTCCTCATTTTTCAGAACGGATGGTGCAAGCAGCTTTCTGACACCAAGAACGTTTAACTCATCATTGTCTTCAGCACTTGACAGATGTCAAAACTGCAACTGTAATTAAACCAAGTGAACAGAAGTTCTTTGTTTATTTTGGTTCAAGGAAAACTTATACTTCCCAGGCGAACACATGGCTCTAGTCCTATTAGAAATATGTAGTGAATTGCCAATAATACAGCAGGGTAGGTGGTTTGCAATAGATTTACTCTTAGACCTCTGTAGTAGCAAGTAAAAAACAACAAATGCAGGAAATAGCAGATACTGCCCACGAGCTGAGTCACACAAATACAGTACTGAGTAAATCCAATATTGCATTAGCAAACACCAATATTTATGACCCTTAAAAAAAATTATGTTGGACTTGGCTAAACCAACAGATGCATCATGCCAATCAGATATATTTTTCTTTAATGTGATTTATTATTGTCTTGTGTTCATGGTAGTTTATTTGATTAAAGACTAGACAGAGATATTTGAGAAAGATATATTGATAGCATACTGCAGGAAAGCACAAATCCATCCTTTATCAGAATGCAAACAAATACTGTAAAGGGATTGTGTTTTTTTTAAACTACAGTATGTTCATGCACTGTCAAAAAAAGGAAAGGGAATCACTTGTTAACTGATAACTCACTCACTAATTTCTTTTCATCTATTAAATAGAAAATATAAGAAACTTAAAAGCACTAGCAAGAAAAGAAAGTTAAGTGGCACTCAGATTTTAGACTGCTTCTATAAAAGCAGCCATGCTTTATGAATTTCTGTCATACAGGCTGTAAAATGAGAGGATCTTTTACATGCAACATGTCCTCTTTTTCATCATCTGGACATCATTAATCTGGGTATTTTGTTAACACAACATCTGGCTTAAATGGTGGTGAAATGTAAAGGGTTTAAAAAATGTCTGAATAATATGTTATTGAGTTTTTATAAAAGTTAAAAATATTTTCATCACACAAAATAATGAAATACATATGGAATAACAAAGAGCAGCAGTGGTTGAGGAAAACATCCAGAGTGCTGTTAACACAACACCTAACTAAATTGAATGTTAAGAATGTTAATTGAGATGTTAGTTTTTGCTTAACCCAACCGGAAGAGATGCAAACATCTGGCCATAGACCAGGGAAATTAGAACTTACAAAAGTGCAAGTGAAACCAAAAGGCAACAATTTAGAATTAAGAAAAGACAACAAAAAGAAATGAAATTGTGACAACTGTCTCAAAGAACCATTCGATACAGAGAAGAGTGGGACGGAAACTACTGTACGTGAGGAGAAAATAAACAACACAGACAAAAGACCTAAATAGTTTGGCAGTTCCACTTCAAGTGGTTAAATAGAAAGTTGGTGAAATGCCTGGATATGAGTATTAGTTTTGATGTACAATAGGTGTGGCATGTCTCTAAAGACCTGCATTGAGTGGTTTGATGGGGAGAATTAGGAAAGCTTTCACAGGCCACTGTGGAGGCTGCACCTTTTTGAAACAAATGACCGGAAGAGTATGGGGTGGCAAATCTAGATTTTGTTCAAATCTAATTGAAGGGAAAGAGAAATCAAAAATGAGACACAACAAGATCTCACTGAAAGAGATCAGAAGCTGGGTTTTTTTTTTGAGGACTGGTTCATAAGGAATAATAATAATTTTGAATTTCAATAATACAAATTTAAATTTAAATACAGTAACAGCTTTCTTAACCTGCTGGATGCTGAACAAATGATAAAAAAACAAGACAAACTGTAACATAATCAAGCACAAGTCTTAATTAAAAGATGTGTTTGAAGGTCATATTTTAAAACAGTAAAAGCATCTGCCTCTCAAAGCATTGCAGGAAGGGCATTTAATAAAAATAGAGCAGCGACCGAGCAAGCACAGTGTTTGGTACAATGAGCAATTCTGAATCCAGAATTATTCCATTAACTTCTGTGGCTGTAGACGGGCCAGAAGTCCATCCCTAGCAACACGGTTACCCATTGTTTGAAGAAATGAATATCAAGGTGGACGTGACTCTTGCAGGGGGACCACGGGGAAAATTGATTGTAAGGAAATTGTCAACGAAGGAAAAAGGGAAACCTGTAATTATTTATCAGACTCCATCATGGGGCTTCCGATAGCTTGTTGAAAGTGACTGGGCTGCTCCTGCAGCCAAAGATTAAGCGAACCTCACAGTAAAACACAGACCAAAGAGATACCGAAAATTGGAAGTCAGAAACGTGGTTTTGACACCATTGTAGACATCAACTTTAAAAAGCCCTGTGCCAGGTCCTGCAATCTTAATGAAGAGGATGATATATTTGGTGGCATAGTGACGTGAAAAATACAAGCTGGGAATACGGGGGTTAATGCTCCGAATAGCAGAGTTTTGAGGACCTGACAAGTCGATTATCAAATGCTTCTTTCTACAATATTCGGCAAGTAGCAGCCCTCATGGTGATACTGTGACATGTAGAGAAAGAGGGAGAAGCAAAGGGAGCAATCAAAAAGTCTAGTGACTCAGGGTCAGAGGCTGCAGATTGAAGATGTTTACAGATGACAGGAGAGGAAGGGAAAGTGAATTAAACAAGCAGAAAAAAGGACATCCAGTAGCTACAGAGTGAAGACAGGATCAGGGTGGCAGTGTAATACGGAAGCAATTCAGGAATATCAATTGGAAAATGAATGCAGGCATACTGGGCCAGTGAAACCAACTGGAAACCAATGCAGGCATACTGGGCCAGTGAAATCAATTGGAAACCAATGTAGGCATACTGGGCCAGTGAAGGGTGGTGGTGGCTTTGCCTCAGTTGCTACAGAAGCGAAGGTATCAGCAGGAAGGGGAAGAGAAGGAATTGAAGTTATTGCGAATTTGGCAACTTCAGACAAACATATTTGATGGCAGCAAATATCATTGGAATGGAGAAGATTAAAGAAAACGTGTGGCTGGGGTTGAATGGGGGAAGACAGCGGGGAGATAATGGAATAAGTCAAAGCTCTAGGGGTCAATCCTGGAGGCTGCTGCAGGCCGAAATATGAGACACAGAAAAAGAAATTCTCCTGGAGATGGATCTAACACCAGAAAAAGGTACTGTACATCAGCAACATTCAATATTCAGGGTTCTCCACTAGGACTGTTGGTTCCACTGGAATAATCAAGCTGCTGATATGGTGAAAAACTGCTTGTGGTGTTCATTACAATTACATTCATTCGTCTTGCAGATGAATGAAAATGAGAGGGCGGACTCAGTATGGTATTTCTATCTTTTTGTAATGGATAATTTCATGTTAGAGCACCAGAGGTGAAGGGGAATTGAGTTTCTGTCTTCCCACCCATACCTTAGTTAAAAATATAAATTGAAACCAATTTTTGAATTGGTTTAAACATTTCTACTACATTAGACCTACTGTATGAAGATTATTTGATCAAAAACTGAGAAAATAAAGTCCATGGTTTGCAAATAGGCAGTTACTTTACACCAGAGGATGGACGCTTCTGTACACTTATCCAAATAAGAGAAGAACTGAAAACTGTTCAGACACATTTCTCATAATATTTTAATTATCGTCTACATTATGACAAAATATTATACTGATAAGTAGACAACATTTTGAGCGAAGCACATCTTGAGTAGAGGGCACTATCAATTTTCTCATGCTCTCCTTCTACCTCTTACAGAATCTTCAGTAAAATATCTCCAACATTTTTTTCAAGATGTCCTTCTATCATACATATCTATAAAAATGACTTTCAGATGATTAACATGCTGATTTAACAAGAAAAGCATTTAATTTCCCATGCTGGGGTTCTAGTAGATATGACACATTTGGGCTGTGCAGCTTGGTTGCTAGGGTATGTAACTGTGATGACTGTTTAACTCCTGAGGACCAAATACACTATGCTGACAAGTTCTGCTAAATGACTGACACAGGCAGTACGATGCACTGTGGCACATACTGTAGTTTCAACTCAACCAAGACACTGATAAGTTCATATTTTCCCCCACAACATTACAAAGAACTACTCTTTTTCTGCTTTTTCTTAAAATGTAACAAAGACAACATACTTGAGCTGGAAAATGAAGAAAAAAACATGTGTTAGTCTTGGTTATTCTTCATAATATCACATAACAAGAAAATAAAATATTACTAAAGTGTACTTGAATAATTATAGCACGGGTGCTCAACTTCAGAGAGCTAAAATCCTGAAGATATTCCAGGTCTTAATAAGTCAGCAACAGCTAAAGATCTTTGAAAAGTCTTAAACTAGTCTATTTAACCTAATGATCAACTCACTCCCTTCATTAAGAGCAGAGGTGGAATATAGACAATTCCATCTGCTAATTAATCCCAATAATTAGGTTTTCCCTTTACTTAGTTACACCAATGTTTGAATGCTATAACTTTCTTCTCATAAATTCCAAACCCTTGTTCTCTCTGGAAATAAAATGTTGCAGAACTATTTAGCTGGAATTACAGTACCAACCCAATCTCCAGCTCTTAAATTCTGTACCTCACTTGTTATTTTTTGTGCCTCACATGAACATAAGGAAGGTTACAAAAGAGGAGAGGCAGTCTAGCCCCTTTGTGTGCATGCATCAACCTTTCTCTCACACATCTCTTCCTTTGAACCCTCCTCTCAAGATACCTATCTGTGCTCATATCCCACTCAAAGTCCTCTCTATATACTCTCTGCCCTCTCCAGGCCCTCATTTCTTAATTTAGTCCCTGATGTCCTCTTATCTTCTGCTTTCTGCTGGTTACTTAGTGGACCGTTCACTCTCCTGCTTCTCGTATCGTCTGATTTTCCTGTCACCTCAAGTGATGGAACCAGTTACCTTTAAGCTTTAAAACTGCTTTGTCTTTAATCACCTCCTAAAGCCTCTTGAAGACCCACCTGATGAGGCTACTGTACTGTACTGAACTGTACTGTACTTAAGTACTGTAGCACCAATGTACAGTACCTTACTGTACCTGAATTTTTACATTCAGCAAAAGTTTTGACTATAGGATGGCTTGCTACCCTAACATTCAATATTTACTTCCCTACAAATTGATAAACATAATAAGAAATTCTAAATCCTTATTATATAGGTAAATATAATTAGAAGAGTGCCACATGGAACAGAATGACTTAACTATCAGATGACAACGTGTTTAGCATGTATTTAAATTGGTAAAGCTGATGCAAATCAATATAGATTCATATTTTGAATATTTTGCCGATTATGGATGGATGTGAGTAAGGCCCCTGAACATTTAAAAAATCTACTACTTCCTTCACAGTCATCAAAACATGATTAATAATATTTAAATGAAAGTCTTCACATAAATGACTGAGCTGTGTACAAAACATATGGACAGTTTGCTCTGAAACAACAAGGCATTTAAAGTCCACAACAAGAACACAAATGTCTTCTTTTGCACATTATGCTTGGCAGCTTAGCTCCATCTCCTCCAAGTATTAATTTGGGAATAATGCGTTTGTTTCCTTACCTTTTTAAGGAATCTCACTCCATAAGTAAATATGTACAGGTAAAATGTAAATCTCCACCTGGGGCAAATACAAAAGAATTAAGACATTAATTAGGCAAATTTGCTGTGTTAATGACATTCCTAAACTGTGCAATTAATGGCAAAAATATGGAAATTCAGGATTTTATTACCCAAAGGCACATATGGTACATATTAAAGATAAAATTATTTTGGGGTGATGAACCAATACATAAAGAAAAAAAGCTTTGCTGTATTATTATACAGTATAATCAATATCCCTCTCCAAGCACTCCTGGAGCATTCCTGGATAACTCATGGCCTTTGTCATCCATGGGTTTGCAGCAAACACACAGGAAAATATTCTGTTTAAAGACCACAGTGTTTATGCAACCTCTTTATTATGTTCACAGAATGAGATTGTGTTACATGATGTATTTTCTTTTATTTCAAGAATTAATCAGCAAACAGTTTTATTAAAAAATAAAAAATGCAACATAGGTCAAATGAATAACAGAAAAGATTTATGAAGTACCATTACAGCACTGTCAAAGGGTATTTAAGCAAACCAACAAGCATTGTTTTTCCAGTGCGACTGTGGAAAGCATGCTCTTTATTCTTTTGTTTTGGGGTTTTACAAACACCATTCATCATATTTAAATATTATAGACTGATGAGAGTACTATGTAATAGGAAAGTATTGCATAGTAGTTCACACTGTTACAATACACATAAATGTCAGTCTAAAATTGGAAGGAAGATTGTGTGGCTAGAAATTAAAAAAGGTCAAGAGTAAATGCTTTAAACAAGAAAATAAAAGCATCTCCTTATCGCACAAGTATATAACATTTTATTTCTCTATTCAGATACACATCTCTTGTAATAACTCAGTAAACAATTACCCGGTCATATCTTATTTGTGTGCAGATCCCCATACATCACTGATAGATAAAGTACTTTATGCATAAGATATATACAGCATGTGAATTTTAAGGATAGGTCAATAAGAGAACCAGGGGCAGAAATCCATAGAGACAAAAGAAATTACAGATTAATCAGAATAATCCAAATGCATGTCTAGTGTGGATATATACAGTACATTAAATATTTCTCAGGTGTTATGCCCAAAAGCATTATAGCCCCTATTTGACATGAATTAAAGCTTAAGATGCCATTTTTTCTGCCATTTCTGAGTAAAATAAAAATAAACATCAAAGGAAACATCCACCAGAAAGATAAATCTGTAATGAGCTGTGCTGGGTAACGTTTATGAACAGAATCCAGTGTAACTACCATGATTTGAGAGTAACACATACTGACAGGAAAATACATATTCTTTCATAAAAGCCTCAAATAGAATGACCACAATCTGACACAAGAAGATCTCAGAAATGTTCCCTCGTGTGAAGCTGTCCTGTAATTATTTTTAGCTGCCTTGGAAAATGCTCTTTAAAGCTGCTCAAAGGTTGAATGTTCTATCTATCAATCAGTAGACCATCAAACTGTACCACATGAAAGTGTAGTCTTACTTAATGTGTAAAATAATAAAACAAAAAAGAGGCATAAAACGATGAAGATACTGCAATAATAAAAAAATGTAAGATGTCATTTAGCTATTCCAGACAGTTAAGCATCTATCATCTGAATCCTTGCATAATGAAAGTTTAAAGCTATGCCCTGAATCAAATTAATCAAGCTTTATTTATTGTTACTTTATTCACAAACATATTCAAAATAATTAATCTTCAGTATTAGAAATCCAACAGTTTTAAAGGCTAACATGCTAAAACAATGATATAAAAAAAGATGTACAAACAACACATTCAAGAGATCTATCCTGATTAATGTTTAAATGTAGAGGAATAAATACATTTTTGGCTACTGTACAGCATTTACCGATTGGTTTTGGCCTTTGTTCTGTACCTTCTGTTTGATTAACTGCAAACACAGAAAGGCAGGATTGTTTACCTACAGATATGCCAACACTGTTGCACAGCAACTGGAAAATTTAAAATGTAGGGTGCATGTATTTTGAAAAATACACAGTGTTAATACATGATTAAGAGGCTCTATATTCTATGCAAAAGGGTGTAACCTCTTTGTAGCAAACACACAATCCACTTCCTCCAAATACACACTGGTATGCCTACATTTACAAGATCTCCTTTGAGAGATCCAGTGGTTTCAAACATGAAACAAAGTTCTAATATAAAATAGAATATAATGCTGGAATTCATTTAAAATTGGAACAGAAATTTCAGTATAGTACAGGACATGACATTTGAAAAATTCTGAACAAACTTCCAATAAAAACTTTAAAATAAGTAACTCCAATTTGATCAATTGAATTTCAATCAGTTTCTCTTCCAGATGTATTACAAAGATGCACTATGTTTCCAGTAAGGACTTTGTCAATGTTACTTTCCTTCAAAAGTCTTTCTGCTAGTAATTGAAGTAATCAGTGTAAGAGTGGGGGCTGTGTGTTTTGTCGTTGTATCCCTTCTTAGCAGGAGTTTAGAAACCACAAAATTCTATCACATTCTCCAATGATGTATCAGAGGCCATTCTTTTCCAATATTCTTAATGTTATCTTAATGAACCCCCCTCCCCCTTAACTACCATAACCAAAAGCCCACACCTCCCTATTAAATCCAACAGAGGAATTCTTCCAGCTGCAGAGACAGGGACAGGCGAGTCACCGCAAGCCTGTCTACATAAAGGAAGGTTTGGCTTCAGACACTGCATTCGATAATGCCTTGAGGTTTGCATGCAGTGGCAACTGTGTTTAATATTAACCACAGCTGGTGTTAAACACCTTCAGTATGAACTTTTTGAAAGATTATTTCATTTTGCGATTAATATTTAAAGTTAAAGCCCTTTTGGTTCTCTTGATTTTGCATACATGAGTATAAAATAAATGTATGCCTTTCATTCTTTGGCTCATTTAAGGAGTTTCTAATGTCTTAAGCTTCAGGAGTCAGGATAAGTGATCCTATATATGACATTTCATTTACCTACACATAATAAATTGTGTACAGAAGATAATGATTTCCACATTTCCACAAATAATACAAGTGAAAAATTATTTCATACTGGTTTAATATGAAAATGGAAGTGAGGTAATAGTTTCAAAAATGCCTGGCACTATAAACGTTTACAGGACTAACAACCTTTTCCATTTCACCATACTGGCTATTTACCATTTTACACACCACTCAGAATATTAAAAAACATTGCTTAATGTCATTTTCTATTATATGTTATCTTAATAGTCATGTACTGCATGCTTCACTCCAGAGGCATTGAACCTCGTGGTTGGAATGGTGTTTTAAGGTCCCAAAGCCAGTCCCATTACTGCAATACTGTCCATTTGTACTTCTACAAAGTTGTAGATATAAGTATTGAAACACCTTTATCTGAAATGATTTAATTCTCCAGAACATGTTTAACTAGAACTTGCTTGGACGATTAAGTAAACCTCAGCCAATCATGAACACCAACAAACATAGAGAAGGGTGCCAGCAGGCTGCCAGTAAAACACAGATCAACAAACTACTTTTAGTTAAACTCAATTCATTTGAGAATAAGTTTATCTGATGCAGGTTTGGACATATTTTTATATAATGTGTGGGAAAGAATTTCATCAAGGCTGAAATCATGTTCAAATTCTAAAAGCAGTTTAAAGAGTAAAGGAGTAAAGAGCTTAAGATAACTACAGTAACTATAAAAATGTAAAAGGAAAAGTCAAGATAGTCATTCTAAGTATTTTTAAAAGACCATATTTCATAGAACAAAAGTTAATATTTTTATGATAATGTTTATGTTTGGTAAATCAATACCAAAATGTGATTTTGTGGTAGGTTGTGCTTTATGACAGCTTCAGCAAGAATCCTTTTACTTCTTCTAATAATACTCTTTATTAACCAAACCCAAACTGTGTAAATTAAGTCTACAATGAATGCACTAAATTTGTACATCCTTGAATGTTTCTTCCTATAAAGGACTAACTCCAATTCCCTACACAGAAATGGGCCTGAGAAATTAATGATCCTTTCTCGCTGTCACCTGAGTAATTTTGACTGTAAGTCTTTGACAGAATGAAGACCTTCTGGGAAACAAATTAGAGAAACACTCCATCCTTATAAGCTTTCCTTGTTTTCAAGTCAGCTGCTGAGTCTAAGATATGTTTAGAGTCTGACAAGCGCCTACTGCCTGTAGCAACTTGAAATACAAAAGATCTGGGTAAACAAAAATTATTTCTGAAACACAAATAAACCTGCCTAATGACCCTGTATGTCAAATTCAGCAATATCAGATGAAAACTCAGTTTATTTTCAACCCTAATTGGTTTAGGATTAAAGTGGAGAAAATGCTAAATATTTGAAAGTCTATTTTGATTTTCTGTTCTACATAATATATGTTGTGCTATTTATAACACAACAGGTTATTACTATAAATAATACAAAAGGGGGAAGAAGATTCATTGGCATTATACTGTATGTGGCAGGCTTGTTTCTGGTAAGTCATACAGAAATGAAGGACTGGGCAGCTTGTTTGCACTTTAGATAGACACATCATTTTGTTTAAAGGTCGACAGAACTTAAGAAACGATATATACTGCTGACAGAATAAAATAAATAAATATATTCTCAGTAGGTAAGGAGCACATTAACAACCACAGAGGTTTTGAGTAAGATGAGGCACTATTTTCAAGATTTCAGCTGTTCATGATATTGAATGTCCTCTGAACTATTTTTTACATCTCAGCAAGTGGACAAAACAGCTCTGTTCTATCAATGAAAGCTATCATTCCTGCACAATGTTGCGTGTGAAATAATGTGTTCAGGTCTGGAAATATATTATTTAACTGCTGTAGTGATCGTAATGGATCAATCCATTTACTGTAGCAGCACAAGGGGATTCCCAACCATATTAAAAAAGGGAAGGCATACACAGCAATTAATTAATCTTAATACCACAACATTGAATCACAGCAAACTGATGTCCACACTCTTGTACACCGTGGGCTCTTAACAGATAATAAAACATTCATCTGTTACTTAATTATTCTTGACAGCATCAAAAAATATCCTTAATAAATGTGAATTGTCTGCTGTCTCCTCAGGATATGTTGTGTCTTGAAATGCCTCACATGTCAGTGATTGCAATTTAAATTGGTCCCAGCAATTGAATGAAATATAAATGCCAATATAATTTTAACAGAAAAAATATCTCCTTACATGCTCTCACAGAATCTAGTGAGCGTACTGGGCTTCTCTTGGTTCCTACGCTGTCGAAACCAGCGCTGGATGGTGCGCACATCCCAGTCTAGTTGCTTGGACAGGCCCTCTAGTCTCTTCTCATCGGGATGCTGAACCCATGAAAACACAATGAAAAAGCTCAGGAGTTCAGAAAATAGTTGCAGTGTTTTTGTTGGACGGGGGCAGGATTCATTTTATGACAGGGCACAACATGTTCAGCCTAGAAGAGAGTTATTAATGGCTTGTACAGTATTTAAATCTAGCGTGCAGAGTGCACCGTGAAACCTCTGAATTTAGGAAATATTAATAATGAAACTAAATGAAATAAAAGCTAGGGCTCCCAAACCACATGGCCATGGAAATATCTAGTGACAGATGGCAGTTGGTCTCCCAAAAAGTAACTTGAGCTGAGGAGTTTCAAGAATATTAAAACAATTAAGAAAAAAATGTTTTTATTCTTGCCCTCTGGATATTTTCTTCTTTGCAATTTTACATGACTGCATGGAATTGATACTCTTCCTTTTTTTGGTAGAAGCTGCATTTTTGAGAATTCTCGTTTCAATTGCCCTCCAGCGCTGAAATCTGTAGCTTTATTCATGCATTTAAGTAATATAATTTGTTAAAATTGCACAGTCTTCTTTGTGCTAATTTAATTTGGAAGACATAGTTCAGATTTCACTTCAGTACAAGCAAAATGCAAAAAACAATTTAGAGCTCGCAGCTCAAACTTCTCCCAGGGACTGTATACTTGGATGTATCTAAAAGGTCACTTTTGCATGGTTAGGTGCAGCAATCTTACTTCTTTATCCAGTAGGAGCTAAAGGCTCCCACCAAAGTTGACAGATTGGCATAGTCCTTATTAGAATGTGTCAAGTCTCACACGTCTACAGTACATTGAGAAGCTTTACAGTGTGTCACTAGGTTTTTGTATTACATTTTATGACAGAATTAAATACTTTTAATTGTACTTAATTGCACTAAGTCACAATACAGAAGCACACAACTGGGTCATCTTAAGCATTTTAGATTCAAAATCAAAGTAAATACCAGTGGCTTTCATGAAAATTTAAAATTTTGTAGCCTATAGCTGAAAGTGCATAGAGTTTTCAGGCAGATGTTTACTATCAAACCTAAACTTAGTTTAACATTCATGGGTAAATTGCTATTCTAAATTGCTAAATGACAAGTGTTTACTCACCTTCGTAATTGCAGTGAACACCTTCTCAAGAATAGCATTGGGCTGGGCTTTTTGTGGTCCATTTGCTTGGATTTTAAGACCTAAGGCACATGGTCTTGCAATAAATCTGAAAAAGAAAATATACAACTATAACATACACCTATTAAGAATATTTTATCGAGTTATTGTTGGTGTTTATGGTAGGCTGGCAACACACCCATTCCTTTTTAATTTACTGCATTTTATTTTATCCTAACAGGTGTGTGATTTTTCTTACAAAGTATTTAATGTGGGTCTGATATATGGCATTTTTGTCAGAAACAGAAGGGAATTTAACATTAATCACATAAGTCACTCTCTGCTAAGAAAATCACTTTTCTCCATCAAATAAGCATTTCAGCACTTTTCTTCAGACGTTTCACTAGACTGAAGGTAATGCAGCTATTTTGTTGAAAAATCTTAATTTTAGAATAAAAGTATAAGGAAGAATGCTTATTAAGCAAATAAAAAAAAAAGCAAATTAAGAAAATAAAATGAGGAATCCCAAGCTTGGTATTTATAAAGATTAAAAACATTAATGTGATATGGATCATTAGGTATAACTGGAAAAGGGACTGACTCTTAGAGATAATAAATTGTTATGCTTTTAAAATTAATACGTTAGCATCACACATCTCTTTCAGTATGATTAACGGAGAGATTATAATTAATAAGCAAAGGAAAATAATAATTCATGAAATTGGGTCTTTTATAACTTTCAGGATGCACCAATTTAAAAAGAGCAAAGAAAATTATTTGCAGCATTTTGAAAAATAGCCTGAACATACAGCTGATTAAGTACAACTATACAGTACTTTTCTCTCTGGATGCAATCTCAGAAATTGACAAACACAATCAAGATGCACATTAGTGGTTTAAATTTGAACATTAATTAGTGGCATTTTGAAATGTGATATAATCAAGGTTTTAGAATATATTTAGAATATAAATATAGAATATAAAGCAAATTAATAAGAATAATTAAAGAGATATTTAACTATTTTAACTAGAATAATTTCCATTATGGCAAATGTATCAGCTGTGATTACTTCACTGCAGGTGCACATAAATTAATAATATGTTACCCTTGTCTCCTTTGTTAAAATGAACTCATATTAATCCTGGTAAAAACACTGAGTAGCAGAATGAAAATAACAAGTATGACAAAAGATTTATTTTATAACATCCTTCTTAAGAGGCAAAACTTATTAAAACATCAACAGGGAGTAGTTCACCTAGTTTATAGCGAGATACTTTGAATATGATGGGTAACAGATCTGCCTAAAGTATAAAGTATGTTTAAGTATAACACAGTTTGCTTTTTACCATTTCATAAAAACCTTATGACTGCAATTAAGTGCAGAAACATTACATTTAAGTGGCAGAAACTAATGACACGAGAAAAACTGTTTATTCTATGATCAGCTTGCTTTTGTAAGATCCTACAACACAAACATCTGCAAAGAAAGCAGCATAGCTGTTTGAAGCAGCTAAAATACATGTACAGAATCGTCAAGGAATTCAATCTGTTAATAATATATAGATCAACAGAATGAAGAGGCTATGAAGAATAATTGTTTCTTGATTATTGTTATCTGAGATGAACACATTTAGAAAGGTGTACAATGAAAGCAGATGCTGAGCATGTGAGAAAAGCAGATTGCATACTGTACCGCATACTGATTTTGAAGGAAACTGCAGTACTGTGCACAGCTGGAAACATGCTAGGTGAGGAATTTCAGAAATGGCCTCCATGGATTTTTAATGTGCCTAGCATAGTCTTACAGAAGAGGACCACACAGATAGCCTAACTGTGTGCAATGAAAGACAGCAAGAATCTTGGAAACATGTATTTAGATTTTCAAAGGTCTTCAAAACTCCAAATTGGATTCATTACATTAAAACAGAAGAAATATTAATAGATAGTAGGAAAATAGTACATTTGGATATTATTCTGGCCTTATAAAATGTATTTGTATCCTAAATTCTATACCTAACCTAAGTTTTATCAGCTCCTGTCTAAAAAGTCTATACTGTATCTCCATATGTTCAGCACAAATCTGAACTACAGCAGAAGTTCTCCCATGTCTTCTGGTAAGAAAGATATCCGAGGATGCTTAGCAAATAAAACAGATAGAACTGCATATCCAGTGCTTCACTGTTTTAGTGGTCACCCAGCCAATGTTACACTGATGATTTACTAATACAGCAAGTGCAAAAAACACTTCCCCAAAGGTACTTATAGGCTTGTCATGTTTAGAATGCCCTTTGTATCTGACATTACCTTACATGTAAATTGTGCCTTCACTGAAGTGAAGGTGGGCAGTAAGAGTTAAGGAAAAGTCCTGGGAGAAGCTCCTGGTACTTGTTATTACATCCCGTCACTAACATCAGGTGTAATAAAATGTATATACAGTAGGATGCCTTATGTACACGCAATTAAAGAATGTCAACAATGATTATTCATTAAAATAAATACTTATTAATTGCCTTCTAATCCACATCTGAGGGTTTACATTTTCTGTCAACGTTGGCCTAAAAGCAATTTTTTAATTAACAAAATCTTTAAATAAATACTAATGTTGTAAATTAACAATTAATGTAATTAATATTTTGTATGTTACTTTAATAGAGACATCCTGCTACAGATCTTAATAGAAATCATAGGGTAAGTGTTAATTTATGCCTTAAGCAAACATGAATAAAAAACAACACCGCTCTGAGATGTACTAGGTCTTCCGACATTTAAGAAACTTCAACAAAGGAAAAAGGTAAGCCTCCAGGTTTGTCTCGCATTTGTATTAGAAGCATTTGCCTGAGCAGATTACAAAGACGGATTCCAGCTTTAACTGTGTGAAAAGAAATCAGGTCAGTATGTGGATTTACATTTTTAAGCTATTATGTAGCTATATAGGTCAGCATAGAAAATCATACTAGCCTTGAGCATCTAAAACCAGAGTTTTTCACACTTAGAATGACTTGCTCTTTCTGAATCAGAGACGTTGAACCTACAGACTTAAAATATAACCTTTCACACTTCAGTATACAAAGCATGAGAACATCAGGTTTGAAAAACAGCTTGATATATAATATATATAATTCTAATTTTAAGTAACACTCATATAGTAGTATTGATCTACTATCTGCCACATCATTGTTATTTTAAAGAAGAATAAAAGGTAGACATTTCTTAAGAAATCATCTTGACAGAATTTTAACATATCCAGAATCCAGAATTGAACCCAATATTAGCTTTCTTTTTGTAATTTTTGGTCCAAAGGAGTATTTTCTTTGTATTCCAAGCATGTATTAGAACGTGGTATATGTGGCATACCACATATACCACATTCTACCCTACACTGGAGATACAGACTTAAGATGCCACAGACTGTGAACTAAGGTGAAAAAAGTCCAATAAATATTTTAAGAAACTGAATGAGCATTTAAACTGTTTTTTAGAATCCATACAAAGGACAAACTGCATTGAACAGCATACAGTATGTCGTTTTAAGCTGTATATACCATATTCTGAAGAACTGATCATGAGATTGATATTGTCAAATATTGTAATTAACAACTATTTTATGGGATTGTCTCTACAACAGTACAACATAGAATAATTAACCTCCATCCAACAAAGGGTTAGATAATTTCTTAATACAAGAAAGAAAGATCAATATTGTTTTTCCCTTTCTCCTCTTTGGCCTTAATTTTGAAAACTAATTCTGAATAAACAGTTTTTAAATGATGGCTTCTTATTAAGGGGAAAAGAAGGACAAGGATACCGACTAAAAATGTTATGGTATATTTTTTACTTTACAGTTAGCACGTTACCAGAGTAACCTGCACCAAGACTAAGGAAATAATACCTTAATGGACCTTACACATGATGAGGTTGGGTTGCTCTGGACAAAATTCAGTACCGCTGTTTTTTACAACTCGAACATTGTTTTTTGGTAGAGAAGGATTAAAATTAAGAAAAAAAATGTCTTTATTGACCACTGCAAGACTGAGTGAAAGGGTTATAAGGAAAATCTGCACAGTACATTTCTGTAAACTAAAATCACACAGCATACACTAATCTCACTCGACATAAAGGGCTTTCAGACACCATGCCAAAACTATGCCTTAATTTGTGTTCCTTCCATAACATATATTTGGAACATTCTTTATGAAATGTTTAATATAACCTGTAATACACTGTATGAGAATTGGGTTTAATGTAAAGATGTAAACTAAGTACTTGAAATGCATTTCTGTAGTTTATTTATATTTGATACCCACATCCCCTGAAACATGAGCCAATATTTGGATTACATAATACTCTCTTGTAAAAATAAAATCCAGTTTTCCAAAAAATCCCCAAAATGTTGTTGATTTGGCTGTAACAAATAAGCTTATTGTTTTTTGAAGAAATGCACCAATATTTCACAGAGAAATTCAAGATTATAGTAACAGACATCTTTAAGACAGTAAATCTAATGCAACAATTACATTTAATTTAATACAGGATCAATGCACCCTTATTAAATTGGGTTTAGATATGGGTATATACTTACACTTACAATATATACAAATAAATCCAGGAATACAAATGGGGAACGTTTTCACTTCCTAAGCAAAATAATCTTAATTTTCAGATAATTAAAAAAGTCAGACAGCCAAAATGTCAAGAATTATAAAAAACTGCAATGTACGACATAAGACATAACAGAACAAAGCTAATGTTTTCGAGAAAAACCTACGGTTTTTCATGTTTACAATAAAGTGAATAGAATGAGAATTTAATATTTACAAGGACCAGTCAAGGCTGCAAATATACAAAACATGAGACTGTACTCACACAGATCCTTACGTAATTTAATACAAAAAAGTGCTTTTCTCTGAACCATGAATCCCTGCTACTGTACAGTACTGTATATACTAAATATAAAACATTAAACACATATTTTATATTTGTATTGGAGTATACAGTAATACAAACCTTATTAGAGTATTGGATTCAACAGAGTTTTTAATACCTCTCTGTGAATTGTGGATCCCCTTTTTGTGCAATCTATACATTTAGTGATATAATAAGGAACTTCT